GCGGCAGGTCGTGTGTGTGTGTGACACGCGTGTGTTTTTGTGCGCAGCGATCCTAAGCTGGACGCTCAGAGACAGAGGCTCTCCTCTGTGGTGGCGGCCGACCTGCTGCCCTCCCTGGAAGGCGTGGAGGTGGGCGCCTCCGGGAAGGTGAGCGTCAGACCACACAGACGTCCGTTTGATGTAACGCCAGCGTAAACACACAGTACTGACCCCCTCCCCCTCCCCCCGTCCCTCCTCCACAGACGGTGTCCTACGCCCAGTTCCTCTACCCCACCAACGCCCTGGTCAGACAGAAGAGCAGCAGCGGCCCGGACAGCTGCCCGGCTCCGGCCCCTCAGTCCCGTTTCCGCAGCAACGGGCAGAGGAACTTCACCCCCGCTCGCCCGGGCAACAGCGCGGCGCAGGACCAGCGTAAGGCCGGAGGAGCGCTCTTGACCACAGGCTGTCTGACCGCTCTGCTGTGACTAAACTGTCCGTGTTGCAGACGCAGAGGAGGCGGTGGCCGAGTACGACCCCAACCTGCTCAGTGACCCGCAGTGGCCCTGTGGGAGGCACAAGAGGGTGCTCATATTTGCATCATATGTGGTGAGCAGAGCTCTAAGGGCTTGATATTTAAAAATGTATTTATTTATACTTTTTATGCAAATGTTTGGTTGACATGCTTTCTGATATTACATTTGAAGAAGATGAGTACATTTTCATTGGTGATTGGCTGGAGCTGCTTCATGTTTGGGATTTTTAGCCTTTTGAAAAATAACTACAATAAGTGGGGGTTATAGAAATCTGCTCATTACTTTTTATAACCACCGCATAATTCTTCTTTAGTGTAATTGGTATATGATGATCTCTTTTTTTATTTTTTGTTTCCCTACCAGTGAGTCAGTTATATCTCCAGCAGTATTATTGAATTATACATTACTATTGAGAAATGTTATTTTCTCTGTTTTTAGTAGTACGATTCATGACTGCTACTTTAAAAGAGGAATGTCCAGAATATTTTCCTTTTTTTCTCCAAATTCTAATGAACATGGACACTGTTCCACCCCTTTGGTCTAGACAAAAGCCATGTCAGAATCAGAACTAACTCTTTTCTGGGTTAAAACGTATCCAGGATTTGACCTGCTCCAGTCAGCACATGTCAAATCTAACTAGAATCCAGCATTATTTCCTCCGTCTTGTAAAATTCAGTCTTCTGAGCAGCGGAGTATTCCTCTGAACAGCCTCCAGCCACGCCAGAGAGTAAAATGCCCCCATTATGCCTCGTTCACATGACTGTTTTACAGCTCCACATGACATCACAAGCTCTATTACCTTAACGATGTACGTGTGAGAACTGCCACTTTACAAATCAAACCATAAAGCCTGACAGGGGCCGTAATTCATGTGGACACAAAGGACTTCTGTACTGACCTGCTGGCTTGTTTTTTTCCATCTGTGCAGACGACCGTTATTGAATATGTGAAACCGTCTGACCTGAAGAAGGACATGAACGGGACTTTCAAGGAGAAGTTCCCCCACATCAAGCTGACTCTGAGCAAGATAAGAAGGTGCGAGCGTCCCACATTCCTCTTTGATTTTTTGACTTTGCGTTTGTTTGTCTAAAGAGCGCTTCAAAGGTTGTTCCTAGGCCCTCCCTTAGAAAACAAACGGGTTATTCTGATTTCTCTCCCCAGCCTGAAGAGGGAGATGAGAGCGGTCAGCGAGGAGTGCAGCCTGCAGCCGGTCACCATAGCGATGGCTTTTGTTTACTTTGAGAAGCTGGTGCTGCAGGGCCACCTCAACAAGCAGAACCGGAAGCTGGTGGCAGCCGCCTGCGTGCTGCTGGCCGCCAAGATCAGCAGCGACCTGCGCAAGCCAGAGGTCAAGCAGCTCATCGACGTGAGTAGCCTCCAGCGCCAGGACACAGAGGGGGGGGGGGGGAGACCGGGAAACCAGCTCATGTTTCTGATGGATATGTAGCGCAAAGGAAATCAGAGGCTAGATTAGAGTTGACCTTATGAGTAGATTTAGTATCGGTGTGTGTGTTATCGGGCTGATACTGTCTGAAGTCTCCCATCAGAGATTGTAAAATAATGTGGCACCATAATCAAACCAGAATACATCAGCCAAAGCTAATCACAGCTGTTAAATTCTTCACATTTTTTGACCTGCTTTATTTGTTTTTTCATCCAATATTTCTGTGCTCCCCACGCCCGAGCAGAAGCTGGAGGAGCGTTTCCGTATCAACAGGCGGGAGCTGATTCCTCTGGAATTCTCTGTGCTGGTTGCCTTGGAGATGGGGCTGTACCTCCCCGAGAGCAAGGTCATGCCACACTACCGCAGGCTGGTGCAGCAGGGCTAGAGTCCCGGGGCTAGAGCGGCCGGGGCTAGAGCGGCCGGGGCTAGAGCGGCCGGGGCTAGAGCGGCCGGGGCTAGAGCGGCCGGGGCTAGAGTCCCGGGGCTAGAGTCCCGGGGCTAGAGTCCCGGGGCTAGAGCCGAAGCCGGGGCCGGGGGAAGAGCAGGAGCCGAGGCTAGAGCAGGAGCCTTTCATAAGCTGTGGTGGTACTTATTTATTTTTCACTGTCAAACAAGAGTAACCGGTTCTCATTCTTAGTCAAATACTGTAGACTTGTGTGTGTGTGTGTGTGTGTCCGAATGTCTTTTTGTACATGTGATGTTCAGATGTCGATCCAGTCGTTGGCTCTATGTTAGAGAGGTTCTATCAGCACGTTAATTGTGCTTTTTTTTTTTTTCTTTGGTTTAATATGTAGGTCTATTCACTTATTTAAACAAAAACTATTGTTTTTTTGGGGAGGGTTGTTTTTTTTGTGGAAAACTCATTACCTGCACTTTTTTTTTTTTCCAAATACTACTATGCAGCCTGTATAGTATTTATTTTTTACAGATAAAGAACCATACTGTAGAACTTTAAACGCCTTTTTTTAACACACTGTGACACCGAAGCGTCTTTTTAGCCAAATCGTAAATTGGGAGAGGGGAGAACGGCCTTTGAATTTATGTCCGCTTGATCATGTGCACCGATAATCCAGCAGAACTCCCACATTTATCAGCAGGAGCCAATGGTTTGGCCTCTTTGGCAGCTGTGAGTGTTAGTCGTGCTAAAACAGTTAAACAACAAAACACTAGTCTTACACCTGTGGCGTTACATTTCCAGTGTTTTTCCCTTTTTGTTTCGTGTCATTACCCAGGGATATGTTTTGCCAAATGAACTGGAATTCAGTTTTTACTCTAAGTATTTCTCACTCCTTTTCTGTTCTCAGGAATGTTACTTTGCATCTTTAAGTAGCTCATAAAATCTAACCCAAAGAAGTTTTTATTGTTTTTCTGCCACTGTGTTCAATCATTAGTCGTGTAATAACATACTCTTGAGTATGTGAATGAGTAAGAATTACTTTGGCAGGAACCAGACAGCAGTATCTCTTCAGATTTAAATCTTTAAATGAGTAAGGTAAAAGAGAAGTGCCTGAAACCACAGAGCCAGTGAAATGATTCAATTCCAATCATGGGATGTTTAGCGCTGACATTTCTCCGTCCTGCCGCAGCTTCTCTTCGGTCATTGTCCAGGCCAGCTGATGGGAACCTCCGTCCAGTCACAGTGACGGTGAATCAGGTTATCGGGAAAAATGTTCAAATAAAAATCAGTGTAGCGACAGAAAATGTACGTCGGTGTCGGATTGATCAACATTACATGTGTGCTCATTCTGTCCAGTGAAATGATGTTTTTAAAATATATTTTCAATCAAACAATGTGTTTGGGGTTGTTGTTTTTTTGGTTGTCATTTTCTTCATGTGGAGATTTTCTGTGAGTTAAATGATCAAAAATCAGTCTGATGTCAAAGAACAGCTGGATGCTAAATCCGGTTTGTTTCAACGACTTTACTGTCACCTGGTGGATGGACAGGTTGGCTAACGGCTAACATGCAGGTTACACAGCAGATCAGTAATCAGAAATCATTATTAGCTCGAGGGTAAGCTTCAGTTACGTCACTCTTCAGCTTTGTCCCGAACGTGTGAAGAAAACAGCAGCTGGTAAATAAATACGCTAGTTTTTGGCAAACACTCAGTCCAAACTCATGTCCTCATCGTCGTCTTTTTTGTCTTTGGAGTCACTGTCCTGGTCCGACTTCGTTTCCGTTTCCATGGCTTTGGCAAAAGCTTCCACATCTGCAGGAGAAATTAAGATTGAAAAAAAAATCTCATTAAATGTACTAAATGGTTCCCAAATAAAGGTGTAAGCACCATCAAATCACACCAGCGTGAAATGAGGCATCACTCTTAACGCTTGGATCTGAAAACTGACTTTAAATAGATACCTCCAGCATTCATTTACCCTGTTTATGTTTGCAGATTTAAAAAATATATACAGTCTTAAAACATAAACGATACAGATAATGGGAAGTATTAGGTGTCAGAATGTTCTGGTGCACATCATGATTTCAATCCTCTCCCCAGCAAGTGGCAGCATTGAGCCACAGAGCATTAATACACAGGGAAGAAGAGCCTCCATGAAAATGCCAGCTTTAAAATGAATTTGGTGTTCATGCTACTTTTGCTTTGTTCAGTAAGTTTTAATGTTAAACTGAGTAAAAGCACACTCAAGAATGTCAGAAAAGGCAGACAAACGTTGTCTAATACACATTAATGCACATTCAACATTCTGGACTGAGCTTAAGTGACTATGCATTTTGGGTTGTCTAAAATGAGATTCTATAGGCCTGGGTAGTATTTTTTCATAATAAAATTTCCTATGTTGATGTAAGAACCAAGTTGATGATATATAGCATCATAAATTAAACAAAATTAAACATGAATTTGTGGATTGTACACAAGTTACTGTGTGTTCAATTCCTCTGTTGACACCTCATGTCAGTTTTCTGGGAAAGCACAAAAGCAAATTTCACAACTGGAGCAGACACTGACCTCCCTTGTTGGCTGCATCAACAGCCTCTGCAGGGAGGCCGAACTGGTTCATCAGAGGTCCCAGCTGCCCGGACGCCAGAGCGCTGCTGAACATGCTCATGGCCTGCCGGGACACACAACAAAAGCTGTTCAATATAATCTACACAATTCCTCATCGTGCTTAAACTCCTCATACGTTTTTGTCTGTATATAAACAACAAAAACATATGCAAGAGTGATTAGAGCGTTTTTAAACTGTCCAGTAAAAATCAAACCGTTTACCTCCCAATGAATAAGAAGCTAAAACAACATCAACAACAGAAAGAAAAAAAAAAAGTGGCCCACCTGCTGAAACTGGGGCGAGCTGAGTGTGTTCTGGAGCTCGTCTGAGCTCTGGGGCAGGGACTCTCCGGAGGGCAGGTAGGGGGTCAGCCTCTGCTGCACCTCGGGGTTGGCCAGGATGGGGGCCATGATCTCGGGGGTCAGGACGCTGGCGAGGTCCACTGCGGGGGGGACAGAGCTCGCTGGTCAGTCAGAACCATCAGAGGTTTACCGGTCATGTGGATTTGTGTTGGTTTTTGCACGTGGATCTGTAGCCAGGCTTCTACATTCTTACAAGTGCAGATCCACTAATTTTCACACACATCAAAAGGACACTGAAACCCGTATCTGCATTGTCGATTTAAGCCCCTACTGCCACCTAAATCATCCCGCCATCTCCTCCCATCAGCCGAGAGCCCCTTTGTGTCACATATGACAAAGAAGCTAATGGTCACTTTATAGTAACAGGAGGATTGGGAGTGATTTGACGTGTGTGTGTGTGTGTGTGTGTGTGTGTGAGAGAGAGAGAGAGCGATCAAACGCAGATTGAAATAAAAACTGACACTGCAGCGCTCCCAGAAGGCCCTTGCCTTTGCCAAAAAATAATCATATTTTAGAGCTAAACAGTAATGCAGGCACAAAGCGAGCTCCTTTTCTTTTCTAATCCCTCTCCTCTGATGCAGTGGGGTGGGTTCGGCCCCTCACCTCCCTGGCTGCCCGCCGGTACGTTCATGGTGGCCAGGATGCTCTGCAGGTCTCGCAGCTGGATGGGCTGCGTGGAGTTGGCGGCCGCCGCCGCGGCCAGGGAGGACACGGCCGGGGTGGAGGGGGTGCTGGGGGGGGGGGGGGCCGCCGAGGTGGCCGAGGGGGTGATGGGGGTGGTGGGCACCTGGGAGGAGCCCAGCCGGCTGGCCGCAGAGGTGGAGGTGGGCGTTACAGCGGTGGACGGGCTGAGAGGGGGAGGGGGAAAAACAACAACTTATAAATCTCCTATCAGAAAATAAACAAACATGCTGCTTGAAGAATTGTTCTGAGATTAAAAAAAAAAAAAAGAAATCTGAAGGTTTGTATTTCTAAATTGAGTAACATGCATTCAGTGATTGATGGGACGAACAACTGTCACTATTCTGATATGTAACTCAGTGTGCTTGGTGTAGCCTCCTGCATTTCATTTATTATTTCCAGAAATGTTCCAAATCTTTCCCCTTTAACCCTTTAAATAAAGCCTGATGTTTTCCACTATTTCTCCAACTGTGCTGCCATGACCTCTCACATTTAACATGAAAAAAAGCTCATAATGTTACTCATCTGATGTACTTTTAGGATTTAGTTAAGGACAATCATTTTCTTAATATTGTCTTGCCAATTAAAGCTAGGATTTTTTGGGGGGTGGGGGTTATATAACATGGAGGACATCATCTTGGCTGCGGTTCCCATGGTAACATGAATACACAGGAGATACCTGGTGGTGGCGTTGCTGGCTGCAGGCACGCTGCTGCTGCTGCTGCTGCTGCCCCCCCCCAGAAGGTTGGTCAAGCCCGGACCGGCCAGCGCCCCGAGACCTCCTGACCGTCACAGAGACACACAGTCACCGTCAGTCTGACCGGACGGGCATGTTGGCGCCGGCGGGCCCGCGGCTTAGGTTTCAGCCCCGGATTCACTTACCGATCCCCCCCAGTCCCGTCGGTCCAATCAGCTGCATGAGCTGGTTGTGGCTCATGTTACCCAGAAGGCTCTGCAGGCCGCCCTCCCCTTCACACCAAAGCAGACGAGAGCCAGCGTCAGATATCCAAAGTCTCTTCATGACAGGGTTAAAAATACTAATGATTTTATTTTATTTTTTTTACCTCCCAGGGCAGACAGGTCGTGCCCCCCACTGCCGCCGCTGCCCAGAGCCCCGGGCATGGGCGGGTTGTTCAGGAACTCGTTCACTTTGCGGCAGTGCTCGTCATCCTTATCGCACTTGGGCTCCTGGGAGCACAGCGAGAAAGGCAAACGTTTGTATGTGCAATGTTTTTGCCTCATTTCAAAGCATTTAGCATCAACTGATTTATATAGAAAAATAAAAAACATCTGGGGGAGAAAGGAGGCTTTCTGAAAGAACATGTCGGCATCTCTGTAACCCAAGCAGCACAGACCAATCACATCACAGCACACTTTGAGGCCATGTATTTACAAAAGTTGTGGGATGAGCAAAAGGGTGGGACACATTTACCAAAACACTCTCTAAACAAATCAATAGAATACATCTGCGTTCTCCCAAAAAACAAACAAAAAAAAGGATAATGTCATTCTACCTGCATCCAGAAGAAGAGTCTTTTGGAGCCGGCTTTAAACTTCAGCACGTAAACGCGGCCTGTGGTGCACTGGCTGACCCGTTTGAACTCGCAGTCGTCAGGGAAAATGATCAGGTCCTTAGATGGGGGACATGAAAAGCAATGTTTAAAAAAGAAAAGGCAGCGGGCGGGTGGGGCCGGCGGCCGCGCCTCACCACCCACATCGTCCACGTTCCCCGTGGTGCGGTCCTTCCAGCAGAAGTGGATGAGGGAGTCGTCGGTCTGCTGGATGTAGACCTGGCCCTTGCGTTTGTCCGGGGTCACCGTGCTGCCCTTCATGGTCATCTTCCCGGCCCGGAACTCCACCAGGTACTTGCTGGAGGAGCCTCGGGAGCCGGACACCATGCTGGGGAACAGAGCTCCGGATGCCATGATGAGAACTGCTGCATCACAAAGCAAAACCACCACAACCAAAAAGACAGGAGATGCATGTTCAGATCAGTTCATTCATTCATTTAACTCACTAATCAATCATCTCATCGGTCTAAAATAAGAAGTGACCAACAGAAGGCATTTTAGTCTAACTCAGGCCCCTCGTGTTACCAGCAAACATTATCCATGCTTGAAAATAAGCTCAAGGCCTCAATATCAGGACAGCTGGTGGTTCATTCATTCAGACGACCCAAAGCAGGAATTCTAACCTAGATCTGACCGAGACAAAGGCTGTCCATGGGAACATGATGGAGAACATGGGCAGCCTTGATGCGGAACATATTCACTCGACCACAGTAAACAAACCCAGCTCAATTCACCGCTCCATGGTGTAGCGTTGGGTTTTGTTGCCCTCCTAAGCGTCAATGCGCTAATGTAAACACGCATTCAGAAAACTCTCCCAACCTGATAGATTAGTCGCTGATATAACGGAGGTAGGGATCTAAAGGCAAATGTGAAAGAACCAGCCTAGCTGGAACAGGACTGGTCCCAGCGCTCCCATAACAGCACAGCAGCTGGAGCAGAGCTCGGCCGGGGACGCACCACAGATGACTCTGCATCCCGCAGCCAGCAGTCTGTTTCCAGCCCAGAGCGCTCAGTAATCAATTGCGAAATACATTTTTCACATTAACGTAACGAAAAGAGCAGCCGTGGCCTCTGTTCGGAGCTGAAAACAGGTGGAAAATAGCACGTTTATACTCACATTTCTCTGTGTAATATCACTCAGCTTGCAGAGCCACCAGCACCCAGCGACAATGTTTGCGATTGGCGAGCCGGCACCGTTGCCTCGCTGTGATTGGCCTAGCAGCCTGTCAATCACGGAGCGTTTAAAGCCGCTGCGCATGTTCGGTAGAGATAGCACGCCAACCTGTTCCTAGTTGTTTCTAATGTAGCTATTTAAAAATTCGGCATTCGACTTGCGAAAAACACAAATATTTGGCGTAATATATATGTCAAACATGCAAAATATGAAGCCCGCAGAAGAAGGACATTTTAAATGTATTTTTCTTGGCAGAACTTCGTTTTACCTTAGCAATGGACAACTTGTTTCTGTAACGTTGAGCAATAATTTAATAAGAGCGAATATGAATTATTACATGCATTTCGTTATTGCTAGCGCGTGCTAACCGCTTTTATTGTGTAAGATAGGCCGGTCGAGTGTGCCAGTTGGAATTGAAATTTAATTAAATTAGAACAATTAAAAGATAAATCCGTAATGTTAAACTACGGTTAATGTTGAATTGTTAGGAGTATATGGAAGAATAACCAGTGCCCAATAATAATGTTCAGATCCATCAGGTTGATTTTTTAACAGGCAGATAAACGGACACACATTAATATCCTGTGACATGGTACAAAGTAAGATGACAGCATAGGTCATTCTGAAGTCCATAATTTATTTCTTAAATATGCTTTGTATGCATATGGTTATGTGTGGGTACATTATGAGGAGGGAGGGAAACAAAAAGATCAACATACATACAATGTAAACATTTTTAAAAGGATGCTTGACAAAGAGGCACGACGGGGGGGAAAGATGAGAAGAAGCATCAGACTGAACCTGCAGTGTCTGCGGGTTTCACAAAGTGCTTTGAATTCGGAAAAAAGGAAGAAACAGCTTGGGGCAGATTTCACTGTACATCTATGTGCATAGGACTGTGAGCGTTCAAATGTGCAGTTTTGTTGTGTTTTTTTGTTAGTGTTTGGAAACATAAAGTAACTAAACAGATTGCCTGTAAGAGTTTTTACATATGTGGACATTGTTAGTGCACAACTCTCATCAACTGCTGCCTCCGGAGCGCCTGAAGAAAACAAAAAAAGGCTTATGAGCTAAACTGCATGTTTGATTCAGATTTTCTTTCCTATTTCAGGAGGCCCTGGGAGGAGGCTTGGTTCGGTTTGCATAGGTTGGCGATGCCGGCAGCATCCCATCTCACTGGATTGGTTGTGCCAGAAAGCGTTGACTTCAAAATGACTCTCAAATGGGGCACTGTCAAATTAGTCTGTGTCACGTGTTCTTAAACGAAGAGAGATGGGGCTGTGAGGAGGCAGTCTGACCCAGCTTTTTGCACAGAGCTGTGGGGCGCTTCTCCAGACAGCTTCCGGAGCCACAGTTATTTTTTTACATCAAACTTCCCTCTTTGTCCAGACATATGACATTTGACAGATGTGGCACATGTTGCCCTTGGATTTCCAGAGGCTGTTTCTCTCCCTAATGCTTGAATGTTGAACTTGCCTGATGATCACTTTGTTTTCTTTTATGCTATCTGTTCTCTAGCACTTTGAAAAAATGGCCCCCTAATAGCTAGTTTGGCAATAACTTCATGGCACCAAATTCCCAACATGTTAATGTCACATACTGTATCTCACAACCTTATCAAAGTAAACTACAGTGTTATGTTTTAAGTTTACAGGCCTGGTTGCCCAAAAGAAGTGAAAAAGAAATAAAGATTGAAGTTTGATGAGTGTATCCTCCTTTTCTTTCAATATTTTCCATCCAGTAAAAGCGCTCTGAATTGTTCAAAACGTGACTCTAGCGTAGCTGAGGCCTTCACAGATCGAGGTGAAGGGACTGGGGTGTTTCCATAAACAAATATTCTCTGTATCCATTTATTTTAGAGTCCCCAGTGCGGGAAAGTTTTCTTTTTCTCGTGGCTTTAACACGTGTCAGTTAACACCTCGTGGGCATGCGTGCACCAGCCGTTCCGAACATCATCTATATTACAGCAGACAACCACATAAACGTACCAACACTATCTGCTCACTGTAGCAGCAAACAGGGTTCTAAGCAGCTTTCATTTCTACTTTTGAGTCTATTCACAGAGACGCTCGTGACATTTTAGAAGTGTTTAGTGCTAAATGAAATAAACATCTAATTTCCAAGTCAGTTATGTGAAAGGAAGTCTTTGAATAACCTCTGATAATTGATTGTGACTAGACAGAAGTGTGTGGTGAGCCAACAGGTGAGATAATGCTTGAGGTCATGACTGAATATATGAATATATATCTTTTTGTGTCTGGCAGCAGCTTCTTCAGTTAAAACCCTCAGATGACGAGTGGCATACATGTTCGGGGTAGTTAACGGAGGAGGTGTATGATATCAACATTTAAAGTCAGTAAGGTTGGAAATTCCCATTTATATTACCCTTCTAATGAGGAGTGTGTTCACAGTCAGTTGTAGATAATCTGAGAAACAGATTTCAATTCCCACGGATTCTAACAGAGACACGGTACCGGCGGAGCATCTGGCCATCACAAAGTCACAAAATCTGACAGGCTGCAAAATCCTAACAGGTGAATCCTAACAGAGCCTCCGGCGTCAATAAATGTTGGGGCAGTCCGAGTAATTCCTGTCAAAGTATCCACCTGTGTACAGCCAGTCCTCGGCTCCCGTGTGAGGGTTTGTTCCCGGCTGGAACCACCTAAAGGGAGAGGAAGACAGCAGGAGGTGCTTTTAAAGACAGTATTCTAAACAGTACGAACACTTCATCATCACAGGCCTTCCAGATCAATTTGAAATTAAAGAGATATTGACCGGGATCAATAAGGACCACTTATATATATTACTTCCACCTCAATGAGCATTTCAGCAGAGTGTAAGTAGCATTTTTACACATAACCAATAAAAGCTAAGAGAGAAAAACTGTAACAAAGTATTTACCCAACAATTTTTTTTTTTAAATACCCAGTGCAACCTATTAAACAGTACTGATTGGTGGTGGTATCATAAATGTGTGGGAAATTCCTTGTTTTCAATTACCTTTAATTGCACAGGTTCTGCATTCAAATAGGTCGAGTATCAGGCAGGTGTTCTTATGACTTTCTATATTATAGGTAGGTAGAAGAAGGCCTCTCAAATCTGGTTAAAGTGTCTGGAGTCTGATCAAGGTCTCAGCAGATTAAAGAAAATTTTAAGCACGGATAAATAAACAGAATACAGGTGATATATTTGAAACCGTAACCCTTTTGACGGCTTCCATTTGTAGTCTTTGGAAAAGCTAGCAGACTCACTCTAGCAGCAGCCTCTAGTGGGCACCTGAGTAACTACAGTGCATGAAACAGGCTCTGGTTCTCTGACATCATTAAGAGTTTCACTAAACTGGGGACAATTTTACTCCTTAAAAATGAATTGACGCCTTTTTCCAACCTCTGACTGGTATTGAATCTGATTGTTTCAGACTTATTTTGCTGCTGAGTAAAGCAGAAATGAGAACCTACAGCGACCCCCTGATCAGTGCAGGCTATTGGGTCTGTCTTATGTAAATTTGGAGAATAATAAGTATTATTATGTCTGTCAAATCAGCATTTCAATCATCTAAAAAATAGCTAGATGAGAATATATATAATGGTTATGTCTGAAAACAATTGAATTGAAGAGAGGAGAACCGGAGTGGAGCCAGTCCCATGTGAGAACAGATTCTGGCAGACTTCTTTCATCCCACCATCTCTGAGCTAAACGCAGGATTCTGTTTACCTGTCGCGCATGCTTTCTGCACATTCTGATGCTAATTTAGTGTTATGCATGCATCTCAGGAGAAATTTTGTTTTGAGGCTGGTCCGTCTCTCAGCAATGGTGGAGCCTGGCAACGCAACATAAAGGCTACAGTAAACACAAGTCAAACGTTACTTGGATATATGTGGATTTCAATAAAAAATAAAAACTCTGATCCATCCACACAACGCTCCGAACACGTAGGACCTAAAACTCAGACACTGCCATTTTGAACTATTAGTGCATCTTAAAATGCACTATCTAGACACCATGAGACTGATTTATTACCTTCTGAAAATAACCGCCCAGATCTTAAAATGGGCAAATTCTGTGAATTAGCTGAATTATATCATTACAGAGAAGAAAAAGCCAATGAATGGAAGATTTATCTGGATGTTCATCCTATATATTAATCCTACTTAAAAAAACAACCAACAAATAAATTCAATGCTGGTTTATCACAGGGGTTTTGACATAATTGACCTATAATTGACCAATAAAACCAAAAAGGCAAAGAGTGATTAAAACGTTTAGTTTTTTTAAAAGAGGACTTTTGAACACTGACCTGGTGGACCAGTCCTCCTCATCCACGGAGCGTTCCCTTCGAGCGGTTCTCTGTTTCTCCTCTAAGCGCTCTTTCTCGCCACTAGCTAAATCTAAACAACAATAGGGACAAACAAAAGGCACACGCATGGAAAAATCAACGAATAAGCCTGTTTTTTGTGGGAAGGGGGCTTCACTGATGTCGACCAGAGCCTGGTCTTACCTATGTCCCCGTTCTCCATGGCTCTGATGTCCGGCCTCAGCCGGCAGTCGGTCGGCGCCAGCAGGCTCTCCATGCCGGGCTCCAGCTCGTTTAGGGTCACTGCAAAGCTGGTGAAGTTATACATCTGGAAAAGAGAAGACATCTTCATAAGTGGATGATGCTTTCCCACGCCGTCTGCATCACCATATGCAGAATAAACATTTGTAAGTCACTGTTATCATTTGGGTACACGGAGTCCCTTTTATGGGGGGGTCATTCTCAGATATTAATGCTCTTTCTTTATCCCAAGGGATAAATAAAATCAAGTCTAAGTCTACTTTGCCCTTCAAATTTTCACAGAAATTTCAGAAAATACTTTTTGAAAAGTTGTTTCAAAATACAGAGATAATAGCAATCTATATTTTTTTAACAAAAACAAACAAAAAAACAAAAACAAGTGGATTTTGTAGATTGGGATTCGCTGCATTTCCACACCTGTGCTGAGTGAGCAGGCCGCGGCGTGATCCTCCATAATAAGGCACTTCCTGGAATCACAGTCACAGTCTCTTGAGCTTCTGGCATCTCGTCTGCATCCTCCCCTTCGCAGCTACGCTCCTACACACACACACACACACACACACAAACAGACACGCGTCAAGATCGCAAGCGCCGCCGCGCGCGGCCTGAGGAGCTCAAGCTAACCGTACAAACAGTCCAGTGCAAACAGGTGATTCACAGAACTACAGTTGCCACAAATTCAACACGTTTCTCAAGCAAGAACGCATGTCATTGCAAGACATCATGGGTCAGTGCTGGCAATGATCTAGTCATTCACTACACTCTGAACATAACTCGACGACAGCTGGAGCACACTACAGAGATCAGATGCACTTGTACCTTACCTGCTACTAATGCCACTGCATGTTATTGTGAAAGAAGAGATACCATTTCAGTCACATGTAAGACATGTTGGAGACAAACGTGAGAGCGGCCTTTCATCCCAGCAGACGGCCGGATGCGAGTCACAGTCGCCGAGCGCCCCTCACCTGTCTCAGCTTCCTAGAGTCTCCTCCCGCCTTTTTTTCCGCCTTCCTGTGGGCCTCGTAGGTCTTGGGGTCCACGCTGTACATGCACTCTGTCCACTTCCCATAGATCACTTGCCGCTTCTTCTTACTGGTTCAACCACATTGAATTTAGCTCAGAAGAAGAAGAAAAACAAACAATTTGCTCTTACCGAGCTGTTGTGTTTCAGCTCTCACCTTTTGTCCTGGATGTGTCCCTCCACTTTGTGCAGGTCTTTTCCAAACATCCCGCATGGTTTAAAGTTCAAAATGCACTTGTCTCCCGTTCTGAGGGGTTTTAAAGGAAATTCAATATGAGGGCTCAAAAATTATCAGCCTGAGCGGTCAAAGCCAATCACTCCTACCTGTGGTTGACTATCTCCACTGTTCCGTACTGTTCGATCCAGAGCTTCCCCAAGATGATGTTATGCACACAGCACATCGGATTAGTCCACGTGTAAGCTTCTTTAAATCTGTGACAAAAATCACAGCATCTTCAAGGAACAGCCTGATATGATGGGAAATGTCCACATATGCGTGAGCCACTGTATCATTTTATGTTTTTTAAACATTAAAAACAAAAATACACCTCTGACATTCACTTTTTTTTGGAAAAACATTACAAACACAATAAAAAAGGTTTTAATGATAACCAGAGGTGCTTGTAAGTGGGAACTTATGAAGCCACCAGCGTTTTTTTCACTTACACCAAACAGATGAGAGCATATTTTATTTAAATATCTGTTTCATTATTAATCTCTTTGATGCTTAGAAGTAAACAGTAAAAAGCAGTGAGGAACAGGGGTTAAACACTCACTTTAAAAGCTCCAGTGTCATGGTGCCTTTAGGCTCAGCCTCCACACTCTTGCCCCAGAACTTCAGCTTTGGGTAGATGGAGCCATGAAACTCGAACTCCTGCTTCAGCGACTGGGCGTGGAAGGCACTGATCGGGGGGTGGTGGCTCACCTGCTCTGAGATCAATCTGTATCCTTCGTCCTCTCTTGGAACGGGATGGGAGAAAAGCAAAACGTTAGGACAAAGTCGCCCACAAAGCAGCAAGAAGGAAAGTGTCACCAAAGCACAGGTGTCCTCTCACAGTACCTTGTCAGTTCATAAGTCTCTCCTAGTAGAGGATTAAATGGTTTTCCAGTTCTCTCCCACTGAGATGCGACAGCAGAAACAGCAAATGCAGCAACAACCTGAAATAGTCAAAATATTTAGCCTTTTTAAAAAAAAAAAGTGCATAAATACAAATAAAAATAGATCTACAGCTTTTCTGTGTCATTTAATCGAGCAAAAATGTATTTACCTGGTTTCTGTAAATCCTTTAGGAGGAATTAGAAAAACCCTTGCACACAAACAGAAACCCTGGGTGTATTCTGAAGCCAAACGAACACCTTCCCTACCTGCATGCGTTCTATGGAGTCAGATAGGCTGCAGGCTTTGTGGATGAGGTGTGTGTGCTCCATGTACTCCGACATTCTCTGGAGAAAGCTCAGGGGCTCGTTAAACACAACGGGCATCGCTATTTTGGACAGCTCCTGCAACACCACAGGAAAAGAGTGGATCACAATAAACCTGAATAATGACCAAACGAACAACTTCACGTGAACGATTCACGCACCACAGAGCTTTATGCTCTAAAAGCGGCTGTAGAGAGAAGGGCATCCAAATAAAGGATGAAATAGCAGAATATTTGTCTTACTGTGGGTAAATGAGAGGTTAGAACAAAAAAAAGAAGAAAGACCTGAGTGTGCTGCTAAATCAAAGACAAGGATTATTAATTAGACAGCAAACAACTGGGCTCTGTGCTTCAACTCAACAGCCCCTGGTAAATTTCAACATTTCCATTTATCAGGAGCTCATCTTGAGTTTCTTTTTTCTCTTTCTATCAGATGGCTGCAAAAATGCTCCCTCATTATTGACCCAGTAAAAAAAGGAATGGAAGAGTTATGCTAGATGTTACAAAAAAAACAAAAAAACAATAATAACAGACACTTCAACATAACTACATAACATCCAGAAAATCTATAAAGATATAACATTTCTTTTTTTAACTTAATCTGGTTTTAAAGGAGAGCTACCAGAGGGCCTGAGGGTTGTGCCCATTCACTGTTGGTTTTCTGACTTCTGCTGTGTGAAAGCAATGTCTTGCAAATCTCTTCAAATCTATTAACGCTATCAAGTGCTTCAAATAAAAATAATGAGAATCATGCCTGCTATTAGGGTCAACTGGCCATAGAACATCAGCTGTGAACTGGTAGTGCCACATTCTCACACATTTGACAGGAAACGTGCAGGACTCACCATGCCGATGCATTTCTTCAGTATACTCCACACACTAAAATTGTTCCTGGAGATCATTTCAGAAGGCAGGCTTTTCCTGGGGCACAAGGATCAAATTAGATTAAAAAAGACCTTTTTGAGTCTTGACATAAGACAATCAATCAACAGAGCATCAGGCAGAGGCTTCTTCAACCCCGCTCCAACAAAGATTGGTACAGCATGTCATCCCTGCCAACAGAGACAACTGAACATGACTTTTCTTTATAAATAAAAGTACAAAGTAACAACTAAAACCCAGTTTATGTGGATAAATTATTTTCCATTTGAATTCCAGCGTCCAATTCAATCAAAATCAGACTAAATGTTTGACAAAGCTCAAAAAATGGCCAAGTGACTGCACCCCCAGTATCTTCAACAGCTTACCAGTGGACAACATAAAAACACAGTTTTACTTCATGGATAATGCTTTAAGTGCACACATGATGGAAGCTTCAAACCACTTACGCTTAAACAAATCTACAGGAGAACACATGCATATATGCAGCACATAATGTATACAGCATGCACAGCTACTGAATGCAGGCTGCATTCCTCGATATTCCTTTTGTCGTTGAACAAATGCAGTTGAGGAACCCAAAAATCTGACCGTTCAACACAGAAAGAGAGTTACTTCTCTTTTCTGACGAAATTATTCAAGCAAAGGCTGTCATTTGACAGATACTGGGCGTGCAGCATCATTAGGCAGATTTGGCTTTCCTTCTTAAACATCTCTCCCTGCAAAGAAGCCGGTTGAGGATGGGGGTGGTGTCTTGATCTCTCGGGTCTCTGTTGCTTTGGTGGATGGAAGAGGCAGTTTTACGGCCCTCCAGAGAGGGGAAAAAACGTCTGCACCAGACACACCTTCAATGCAGAGTTCCTGGCAACATATCTAAAAGACGTTCTCCCCTCTCATTTATGTGTCGTACACAAAGCACCGTCATTCCAGCATTGTATGTGTTTTGCATTAGGTTGTGCTCCTGCTCGAAAAATGTGTCCTTTCCAGCAAATAATACAATATAATTAGAAGCTTAAGTGTCAAATATATGGTCATATGTTGGAAACAAGTTCACCAAAAAGGTTGTATTATGGAATTTGGTGATCATTGTAAAGCCCTTGCTTTAAAAGAAGTGAGAACAGATTGGATCAGTTTGACCCAGGAGGATCAAGGGTGCTTGGTAAATGGCCAGATGATAGAGAGGTTAATGGAACCTCTTTATGGCGAAAACATACACTACGGATAACTGTAACCCCGCCCCCCATGTAAAAAAAAAAAAACAATCAGCTGATAGTGACATTAAATCAACACTCCTGTTTGTGTTTACAAGAGGAACAGGGGTTTCCCGGAGGACCCGGCTGGTGCTGCTGACCCCCACCTGCGCTCCCAGACTCCGTTCTGCTGACCAGCCCCGCCGGTCAGCTGCAGGCTGTCGAACACCAGGGCATCTTTGAAGCTGACCTCGGCGGAGTCATCAGACTCCAGCCCTGGTGGGAATGAGAGTAAGGTGCAGGAGGGGGGGGGGAACAAGGGAGAACATTTTCCATGCATTCACTCAGGCTCAAGAGTCAGATACGTGTGGCTTTTCGAAGCCTTTTTTTGGTCGGGCTCACCTGTCTCTGCGTCGAAAAATTCCTCCTCGCTGTTCATGCTGACCGGAGAGTGTAACTGAACGTTACTCCAATGTCGGACCCGTCTCCAAGCATCCCAAACAGCCAAAAAACACACCGCCTGAAACACCGGAGAGCTCGTTACGCCCCACACCGGACAGCTTTCGCCGCCGGGGTAAAGCCAAACACTCTGCAAAAGCCTGTTAGGACTAAAACATCCGCTCGCTGTCAATCCCAGAGCTCCTCGGAGACCCTCCGCTACCAGCTAGCTCTCCGAGGGGCTAGCTAGCCGTTAGCATCGCCGCTGCAGTGAGTTCAAACAGAAAGCTGGAGCAGGGGATAAGCGAATGACATCGACCCGGACACCGACAGGCCGACGCGGACACTGACACAAACGTCAACACGCATTTGAAGGAAGCATACCTGCGAGTTGGTGTCGGAACAGCCCCAAGTAACATAAACAATCGAAAAGTGCAGTGTCTCTGAAGCCTAGCGGAAGTAGGCGGCAAGGACACCGTGATTGACAAGGGCGTCAGCCAACCAGAGCGCAGCCAGGAGACTCCTACAAATGGAAGGCAAAGAGCAGATGTTGAGCTATTTTCAACACACATCCAATAATGTGGCATTAGAAAAGGCAACACATGACTCCGCTTCAGGCTGAATGGGGGCAACTGTTCATATCTGTGGACTGGTATAGAAATGAATAGTTCATCATTACTTGTTGTGGACTTTTAAGGACTATCAGTAAATTTCATAACCAGCCCTTTTATGGTGCATATTGTAATTTGGAAACGATTATCTAAGATGCCCAAAGTGTGGCCACTTTTAAGGACATGCGAATTTGTTTAATGCAAAACATTTAGTGGTTTGTGTGCAAGCCAGTGGATGCAGATTTTACATTTCAACATGCCTATGGCATTCTAAAACACTGTTTCATTCAGTTACGAATAATGAACATGTTATTCTATAAATAGACAACTAAACATTATGTAAGTAATGAATTAAATACCATGCGTTTCCTTATTTGTCACAAGTGCATGATATTGATATGATATTGATTACATGAACTGAGATATAGATGGCGACTTTTGGGTTATTCAGGGGTTATTACAGGTTCAGCATTAACCCCAAAAATATACTTTTATTATTGAGTGAGTGGGCTGTAAAATATGTAAACTGCCCTCTGACTTTATGATAAAGGCTCCGAGGCACCCACTAGTGTCTTTGTGTGCTTGTTCTTGACTTTTTCTGGGATGGACAGCACATTGAGCAATGAGACGCCCTGTGCGTCTCCACACGCCTACTTTCGTGTCCAATGAGAGGGCAGATTAGTGTGAGGGCTCATGACGACATGGTGTGGTATGATTGCTGTGGAGCTTAATGATTTAGATCAGAATAAAGTCAGCAGATAAAGACGTTGTCTCCGATTGACTGATTTAATCTGTGGAGCGATATGATCGCCCAGTTTTGGATAGGTAATCTGGATTTATCGTTTGTTGGCTCATAAATGTTGACCGTGGCCCCTGAGGGAGAGAAAGGGAACATCCCAACGAGAGACCACAAGGAGCAGTGTGTGGTCCATCAGAAGGCAGCTCTGATCCACAAGGTGGCAGCTTTACACGCGTTATGAGTTTATATATGGGACATCCGAGCCCCAGTCTGTTATCCCATGTTTCAATTCAAAGAGAAAGAGGACAAGAAACAAACAAGTCAAAAACAAAAATGACTTTTTATATAGGCTTTGTTCTCGAAATCAGAAAGCTCCCCTTATCTAAATAGCAAGGTTTATACGTGGACATTGTAACAGTAATCATAATAATAATGATAATAATAATAATCATCATCATCATCAAAATATTACGTTGCTATAATATTATTATATTAATGCCGACTGTTATCGAGTTAAGGTTGTATTGTTTAGTTATGGTGTTGGAAATGTAGCACTAATATAATATTTTTGTAGCTGATGTGGGACTTTGAATAGATAGGAAAAACATATACTCTAAGGATCTCTGTGGCCCTGCTTTTTAAATCTTACATTTTAAAACGCTGAATGAACTGTTTGTTTAGATTGAAAGACAGAGAAAGAGAGTGAGAGATATGCCACATGTAGCTGAATGAATGTTTTAAAAAAGCTATTTATTCTGATAGACAGAATGATTCCATTGGGTGTTTTTCTTTTTTTAGATGTTTAATAATTTAAAAGTAGAATATTTTATCCTTTTTACTTTTGAAAATGAAATAGTATAAAACACGTTTTCTAATGATAACCTGTTCCTCATCATCATATAAAAACATGTTTTCTATTTTTTTTATTTGTTTATACCAAAAAAGGGTGGCTTCTCGCTTTTGCTTATGACTTAAACGTGAAATCTAATTGACTAAGGAGTATTTTTGCTTGATTTCGGAACAAGTGAATTGATTATGCATATCAGGTGTATATTTGAATAAGCTGCAGATGTCATCTAAAAACGCTTTAAATGTAGCCCCAGTGAAACGAAAAAGCATTTCCTTTCTGTGAGAGGGTCTTATTTTGGACACAGTCACCGGAAGTCAGCTGCTTTAGTGTAACTTTGTGTGACTTCTGCCTTTGCGCAGAGGAAAAGTTTCAGACCTCATGATGAAGAGCAGTCATTCGGATCTCCCCAGTCAACTGTGAAGTTCAAACATTATCAGCTGTGAAGATAAAGACATAATCTTGAATTAGTTAGTCAAAGTCAAGGATTGAAGGTTAACTGAAGGGATTTATTTTCCAAAAACATTATGAACAAAGACGGGGATAAAAGCAATAAGAGTGCACCACGCAGCCAGAAGCAACCCAAGGCGCACCAACAGGTTTTATCCCGGAAAAAGACGAAGGACGCATCCAACAAAGATGCCCAAAGTGTGGCCACTCTTAAGGACCCGCGGTCAGATCAGTGGGAGATTGTTGTGGATGTGAAACCATCCGAATTGCAGGGAAAGCGAGCCGGGAAAGAGTCCTCCAACGTGGGCGCGGAGCACCAGAGGAGCTCGGGCGCGCAGAGGAAACTGTCGGACGCGAGTAACGCCTCCGAGGATCTGAGCAAAGACTCCGGCTGCTTGTCCGGGAAGCTGTCCTCCTCGGACAGCAGCTCAGAAATATCCGACTGCTCGTCGGACGGCAACAAGCGCGACTCACCGAATAGCTATAACGAGTTAAGCTGGATAGACGGCAGAGCTTATGAGACACCGGACAGCGAGGCGACGGGCGACGGGAAACCGTGCGTAAAAGCCGCGGCGGATACCTGTGCGCCCGCGCCTGATGCTGCGCCGGGGGGCCTCAGTTTGTTGAAGTCCGCGGGCCCCTTCATAGATTTCATGATGGGGGACACGACCGAGGATCTAGTCAGGGAGGTGGAGGACTTGAGGTCAGAGAACGAATATCTGAAAGTAAGTTTACGCTAATCGAATTCACCCGTTTACTCGGTTTGCCACTTTAATTGGGTTTGCATTGGAATGCGTTTGAATTTGTCCATTTTTGCATGCATATTATATCTGTCACAGCATGTGAGTCGTTTGACTCTCAACCCCAGAGCCGATTTTCTCCAAGAGCTTAGGCTGTGCCAGCCATATTAGCTAAGGAGAGTCAAAAGTCACGAGTCACCGAAGTTTTCTTTTTTTTTTAAGAAGTAAAGTGTCCATGAAAAGAGTAGAATGTCACTGAATAAAGTCAAAACTTGGTCATAGTTTACTGTGAATTGACTAACTCAGACCTTGATTATCGATTAGAGTGTGTGTACCTTCACATTCATCTAATTGGAATGTGTCCTTCATTTGATGCCTGGGAATGGTTCATGAGTAAAACACAGACTGCCAGGGTCTAGAAATAAAAGTGGAATTGTTCAAAATTAGTTACATGTAACATAGTGTAACACGTGCAAAAGACAGTTTAACCTTCTTTTCATTTCATGTGAAAAAGGTATAATGAAAAATTAGATCTGGTCCAAACCAGATGTTGAAAAGTACTGAACCCCACATATATGCCATTACATATTACACTGTGTCACCATTGACTGAACAATGATTGATAAGTAAAGCAGAATAATCCTGGTATTACATTTTTTAAAATTCACAACGAGCCGAAGTGATCAAAAGAAATTATGAGTCTTGCAAATCTTTCTAGGGAGAATTTGTTCCAATCCCCAGCCCATTGCAAATTCTTAACAAGGCATTTTTAGGCAGGTCCCGTTCAGGACTCCCTATATCATATTATATATATTTATTTTTCACACATTCTTATGTTGATTTGCTGCTGTGTTTTGGGGCCATTGTCATGTGCTATGACCCAGTTTCAGCTTTATAGGTAGAACTGTTAATTTGATTTGATTCCGGTATGGTTTTTTGGGATACAGAAGAGGTAATAGTTGACTTAACGGCTGTAGGTCATGTGGCTATAAATCATGCTGACAAACGTCTATGGCCATGCTTTACGGTTTGTTAGGAATTTGTACTGAGGATAATGTGTTTGGTTTGTTGGATGCAGTGCTATATCTCAGATTTTGCTGTTTCTATAACCATTGGTCTGACCCTGGATTAAACTAACAGGAAGTCCCGCTCACAGAATGATAACTTCCCCGGTGGTTTGGAAACTGCCTTATAACTAATCTCAGATCGATCTGCAATAACAATTGCTTATCTAAGATCATTGCTGATGTCCTGATGCCCACATTGATTAATCCCATCTGCTTCCTATTAAAGCCGTAAAGGTGGATTTACTTTTTCACAAATAAATCTCAGATTTTTTTGCAGAGTTTATATTGAATCGTGTTTTGTCATTCTAAAGCCTGATAATGACCAGATGTTTAAATACATGAAAAACCAACCAACCAAATAGAGATAGTGCATTCTTTCTCACATGACTGGTGGTATAATACACATAAACAAGGATCAAGAAAATACTGATATGAGTATTCACTACAGCCATCATGACTTTGGCTGAAAATGGTTTTAATTGAAGTATAAGTCTGTGTGACACATAAGAATTAACAGAAGATATTTGTGACTTGACCCAGACCACACTTAACTAATATATCCAAAATACAACCATCTAGAAGTGACTCTGAGGTTGATGTATCAAAATGATTTTAAAGTTCCTTTATATTTCTTCATTTGAAGTAAATAAAGAACATTCTCTTTGGGGATAAGTCATGAAAACCATTTTTTCCCAAGTGAAATGCTTCCTTTTAGGACTGACTAAACCCACTTCCGTGTCACGTGCTGCAGGATGAGATGGAGGAGCTCCGTTGTGAGATGCTGGAAATGCGTGACATGTTCCAGGAGGAGGAGGTGTACCAGCTGCAGGAGCTGCGGCTGCAGCTGGAGCAGGCCAACAAGTCCTGCCGCATCCTGCAGTACCGCCTCCGCAAGGCCGAGCGCCGCAGCATCCGCGTGGCTCAGACCGGGCAGGTGGACGGGGAGCTGGTCAGGAGCCTGGAGCACGACATCAAGGTCTGAACCACAAAAAAATTGCAAAAGCTCCTCTCCCCCCCTCTGAATGAATCAGGCCCGTTCCCGTCACAGACGTGTGTGCAAACATTTGCTGCCGTGCCGCAAACCCACTCTCACTTCAGAGCAATGAAATAGTCATGGTCTTGCTCATATGCGACGCAGGACTGTAATCAGTTGACTGTACCCTGATTAACAACTATTTCAAGTGCTGCCTGCTGTTTGCTGGGACCACAAACATCTCATTACCCTAAAATGTCTTCATCGTGCATCCGGTTTATATTTTTGTCATACTCTCGTATAATTATGTGGTGGGTTACTCATCAAAAAAATAAAATAAAAGAGTGCACTTTATCAGAAAACATGGTGGTCCAGTCATTTCTGAGTGCTGGCAGCCAGGCCGAGTTCCTCTGAATCTGGGCAGGGTGCTTTAGTTTGTGTGTGTGTGTGTGTGTGTGGGGTGTAGGATTCCTCACTGCCTCGCTCTTGCCCATTTCCATGCACTCGTATAGTAAATTGCTGTAACAAGAATTTCCTCGTAAAGTCTATCAGCGTCAGCCAAACCAGCTGCTGTACGGAACACGTTTCATTTTGCTCTCTCCCAAAAACAAAACAAAAAAACAGCAACCAGCGCTTGTCCTTTAGGGGAACTATGATAACCAGCTTTCTCCTCTGGATGCAGGTTGCGAAGAGTGTGTCCCTCCGCCTGTACACCGAGCTGGAAGCGGTGCAGAAGAAAGACGCCCGGCTGGAGTGGGAAAACGAAGCGCTGCGCGAGAAAACCCAGCAGCTGGAGGTGGAGAAACAGGTCTTACAGGCAGAAGCGGAAAAGGCCAGAGAGGTGAAGATTTTGGCCTCCATTTTTGGCTATATTTTTTAAAAATGCTAGAGAAAAAAAAGCACGCTTTAATCGAGTTTAGACACTCACAACTTTGTGTGGCACGGCGAGGTGGGAGCCAGTCTCAGCAAGCAGCAACAAACTACACACACAGATCAGGATCACATGACACACACACACACAAACACACACACAAACACACACACACACACAAAAAGAGATTCTGTAGTGGAGATTCTTTTTCCTTCTTGATTTTGTCATCCCCACTCAGAAAATGATCAGATTTCCATGAAAGTCACTCAAATAGAAACTGAAAATTGAAAGCTTATTTGCTAAAACCGGAAAACAGTCCCATATTCTAAACCTTTGCCCCCTCTGTGTCAGAAGGAATATCCATTTGCGGCGATAACTGCTGTTTCATGTTTCCAGTAACTTAGGATCATTAGCTCAGGGGAATTTCCTTCCTACAGCCCAGCTCAGGGAAGTTTGAGGGTTTGAATCTCTTGGATCAGTCAGAGCTTTTACTTACCCATTGAAAAACAATAACTTTTATCCTCTTGAACCAACTTTGATCCTCTTTAACCGTTCCCTGCTGTGTTTAGTCTCATCAGACGGCAAACTCTTTCTCACGGCAGACCTTCCGTGCACACCAATGCTGAGCTCAAGAACATTAACATCAGCCATTGTGAGAGGGGCCTCTAATTGCTCTCATTCTGGGATCCTTTGTGACCTCATGAACAATTATATCTGGACCACTACCATGCAAGGAAAAAGGGTTCTCCTTTCCATCTGTGTACAATCTGTCTGACTCTGGATGGGTGCAGTTCAAACATGCAAGAGATGGTTTTCCACACCAATGAGCTCCAACGTTAACCCTTTTCTGAGGTCGTCTGAAGTCTCTGTGTCGCTTCTCGCTTCCAGAAATGGGATGTGGAAGTCAGACTTTGACGGACTGCTTTTCTTCACATAAAACACAGCTGCTCACTCACCATTGTCATAAACCCGGTTACAGAATTCGTAAACTGCATGCTAATCAGAGAAGTTGGCTTCTATTCATGTTTAAAGGAATCTTTCTGACTCATTAAGATTTCTCAAAAGTTGCAGACTATCTAAAATGAGTGTATTGTATAGTTTACACATCAAGTACGCTGGGTCCAGATACTGAGCACTGGCGGAAATATAAGCTTCCCCCAGACAACCTTCATAAAACTCCATCCCTCCGCTGAGGCATCCTTCTTCCATTCCCCGGCACAGCTGCAACCGTTCAGCCAGCTGTCCCCCTCCTCCCCGACGTCAGGCGACACACGACCCCTGTGTGGATCGGTGATATGAGAGGAGGGCTGGGCCGGCAGCTGCCCGGAGCCCAGGCCGGCTGAAGCGGGCTGGTATGCCGAGGCCTGAACCCTGGGCACAGCTGATGTGGTCGGCCGAGAAGATGGAAATAAAAAAAGAAAAAAAAAAAAAAAAATAGGCAGAGAGGGTGCGAGAGATTACAGAAATAGACTCTCCCCCGCATTCTGCCTTTCTGCTTGTGTTAAGCTCGGCTAAATCGGGATCAGTCAGTATTATGACATTGAAAAAGCATCGCTCTGACCTACAATCCTCACTTAACTTTTATCGGAAGGCATATATTCCCTGACTTGGATTGAGCTTTCAGTCCACCCTTTATTCTCATGACTCTTCCGGCCACCTGTAAGATGCATCGCAGTCTGTAAAGGCACGTCTTCTGTTTAATCCAGGATTCTGTGCTTTGGCTTGAGCTCAGTCTGGTCCACTCACGCGAGACAGCTGCTAGTCCCTTTGATCCCAGCAGGGAAATCTACTTATCTTACCTAATCTAGGGGCAAAAACACTGTGCAGAAAGATGTGGAGGAGACTGTCTCGGAGAATGTGTGTGACCCGGTTAGCAGGAGGCATGATACTGCCGGGCAACCACAAAGCAGGGGCACATGGTCCCGAACAATAACACAACCCACACAAACTACAGCAGTCATTCACGCAAAGAGGCTGCAGCACTTGTTTCTGCCCTCATTTTTTGGTGATATCACATGACAGCTCGCAGACTACAGTTTCTGACAGGGCCCTTCAGGCCCAGCTATTCCGATAAAACCCCTCCATGGGTTTTTCACCTTCTGACTATAAAGATCTCCATTATTAACACAGTGACATCCTGTTTAGGGTTAAAGAGAGAGACAATACTTCCAGACAGAAGCTGACATTCTTCTCATTCTCAGACATACAAATAGAGCACTTCACGAGGAGAGAAGAGAAGCTCATGGGAGAGAAAATTTAGCGTTCAGAGTTCTTTCAGGCATTTCTTAATGTAAAGTTTAAGAACTTGCCACAGATTTTTTTATTTCAATGCCAAGAATAATATAAAAAGATGAAACATCAAAGTACCAAGATGATCTTCCCACTTTCTTCACAGTATTTGAAATATACAAGATTTCCAAAAGCGGCTCATGAATGACAGACGGTGCTTTCGGATCTGTTTTTCACCTTAATATGACAATGTATGCATTTTGTTTTTATTACTCAGAGCTCTTTGAAGAAGAGGAGCCTCAGATCAACAGTCAATAAGGCAGAAAGGAGGCTGTCTCAGCAAATGGAGGTTTGGAATATTTAATTTTCTCTAAATGCACCTTAATTCATGACATGCTGACTGTTGTCATTGTTTTGTTTTGTTTTATTTTCTATTTTTATTTTTTTAGGATGACAGTGCCGATCTCAAGTGCCAACTGCACTTTGCCAAAGAGGAACTAGCTCTCATGTGCAAGAAGCTCACCAATCTGGTGTCGGAGAGCGAGGCCTTGCGCGAGGAGCTGGCCAAATACCAGCGAGCCTACGGCGACATGGAGGGGACACAGTCGCCTGAAGGCAAGCAGAACCCGGCGCAGTCCCGAGAGATGGAGTTCAAAGTTCATCTGAAGCTGGTGGAGGAGGAGGCCACGCTCCTGAGCCGCCGCATCGTAGAGCTGGAGGTGGAGAACCGCGGCCTGCGAGCGGAGATGAGCGACCTCCGGGAGAAGGCTGGAGGAAGAGGGGGGAGGGAAGAGGAAGAGGTTTTGGGGGACGGCACCGCGCCCGTGAGCGCGGCTGTGAAGGATGAGCACCAGAGCGAGGACTCAGGAGAAGGAAACGGCGAGAGATCTGTGCCCTGCAACCAAGCGCAGAGTGACGGGACAATCACCGCCTGTCACATAGCTCGAGAGGGTCCGGTAGGTGGGGAGTGGGACCCCTCAGACGGTCAACAGGGAGACGGCGACAAAAAGCTCGACGAAGGACTGAAAGGAATGACAGTCGGAGACTACGAGACTCTTCGCGCTCTCAGAGACCACTCATGCATTTTGACTTCAGCCATTCAGCTCCTGACGGCGGTGTCCAGAAACGGTCAGAGCTCGCCTCCCTCCTGTGCCTTCATCTCTCCCACAGACCTGAACTCCAACGACAGGGCGCGGGGCTCTCTGGACGAGGCTCTGGAGCTCCTGGAGGCCATGCTGGTGGCTTTCATCGGAAGGCTGGAGATGCTGCTGAGACGCCAGGATGAGCGCGAAGCCTGCCCCGCCCCTCCTCTCCGTGCAAACCACCAAAACCTCGACGGGTCGCAGGTCAGCCAGACGCGTGGAGAAGACCTCTCAAAGCAAGCCGGAGAGGGAGGAGGCCCCGCGGACAGCAGCGGGGATTCCAAAACGCGGCTGTCCTTGCAGATTCTCTGGATCCTTCACCAGTGGAGCAAAATGCGGGGATCCGACCTGGAGGGAAAAGAGGTACAGAGCAAGGATTTAGCAGATAACGTCGCCGTTTTAAAACGCTTTTCAGAAGCTGGAATGTGTGGATTTCTTTGGTGGACCCAGGGCAGAGACAAAACCCTGGCGGCGCTGCTGCGGCTGCTGCAGGAGCTCGGCGCAGAGCTGCGAGACGAGGGCGAGGCCAAGGCGCGTCCGGGCAGGCCATCCGAGGTGAGGAGGCCGAAACCCCGGGCCCCCCCGCTGGGTTCCGAGGTCGTGTGACCCAGTGGGAGGTCCTTTCCATGATCCCCGTCCCTGGCCACAACTTGTAGCAGTTCGACGGGCATCATGAGAGAACTCATGCCAGAGTATTTAGGCTAATCTCTCTGGTAGGAGCCGCAGCCAAACGGGGCAGGCAGGTTCAGATCCATCCTATGAATTCACTCCAGCCAGTCCTATGAATTCGGCACCAGGCTGTAATCCTTCTTTTCCTCGCAGGAACATCTAGCGTTTGCAATTAAAGACTCCCCGGCCTCAGCCGCTGCTTTGTGGCCCAGTTTGCCAGCTTTGGCAAAGCTGAATTATGAGTTTTTGAATGGTTAAAGTCCAGTTACTAATGACTGGCTTGCACCACATTCACCGATTACCAGAGAAAGTAAGAAACAAACACGTGGCTCACACCAACCAGGGACCTTCCAACTATAATTCTAACCAGCATCAGGAGTTGGCACGTTGTAGTCTTTAAGTATTTTGAATCTCATGTAGTAGAAATGGGACTAATGAAAAAAGATGACATGAAAACTCATTATTCATTATTGTTTTTGACTGTATCTCTCTTCCTCTTGGCTCAGTGTGCTTTCAGTGGTCCCCTTCCTGAAGGACACTATGAAACCATCGGGTGAGTGTTTTCCACAGACCGTTTGCATATCGCTAGAAATGATGTCGATGAAAGCCGTAGCGTTATCTTTACCTTCCGATTTTTTCCTGCAATCTCTCCAGGCCAAAGGGAAACAGGTCGAGGCAGCTGTTTCCTCCGCGTGGCCCTGGGAGGAAGAACTGGTGCTATCTGAGCCAGGAGGCGGCCCAGCTTGACCGGGAGGAGCCCTTTAAGACGTGGGACCACCTGATCATGCCGCACAGCTTCCCGGACCTGGATTTGGAGAGGACGCTTCAGAAGAGAAGCCACACCGCCCCGGAGAAGTCGGGCGTCCGCATCTACTACAGCCCCCCCACAGCCCGCAGAGTCCAGCCGGTCCAGAGCAGGCGCAGCCCCGTCGCGGACAGGGGGTCGGTGGACACCACCTCGCCCTGGTGCACCCCGCCCACCTCCTTCTCTCAGCTCTGCCTGGGCTCCTCCGCCAACCTGAGCGACGACATGAAGGAGATAACGGCCGGGTGGAGGCAGGCTGTGCACGGCGGTTCCCAGGAGAGGAGGGGGCGAGCGGCGGGCCGCTGGGTGGACGTGGCCTGCTCCGGTACGCAGACCCACATGAAGCCTCAGATGGTCAGCGTGGGGCAGCAGACGGACGGGACGGCCAGAAGCAGCCCCTCCAGAGTCCTGGGATCTTCTCTGGTCTCCGCCCGGTCTCAGCACATCTCCGCCTCTCTGGATGGGATACCGGGTCGGATGGAGAGGTCCAGATCGTCCACTTCCTCCCCTAAACTGTACCGCAGACATTCTTCTCTCCCCTCACCCACCAGTTTGGGCTCCACCTCATCCTCCACATCCAGCCCCAGAAACAGCTCTGCGTGGAACCCAGCGCATCAGAACTACTCCGGGATCGCATGGACTCGACAAAGAAGTCCCAAATCGGGCGCGGGGAAGACCAACGGCCCGGCCAGCGGAGCCAAGCCGCCCAGCAAGTCCGCCGGCAACAACCGCTGCGGCCTGGTGACCGAGTTCCTGCGCAGAGTGAGCAGCCGGACAGACAAAGCGGCGCAGGGGTCAGGGCCCGGCCAGAAGGCCAAGAGCGGCCTGAAGAACATAGAGCGCGCTCCAACCAGGCCCCAGGCCGCCACTCTGCACAGGAACGACAGCGTGACCAGGATCGTCAACCAGAGGTTCATGAAGCAGAGAGAGGAGGCCGGCCAAGCCCCGAGAGAGGAGAAAGGGAGCAGCCCGAGCCCCAGAGTCAGACACAGTCAGAGTACCGGCACATCAGAGGTGAGTGGGAGGGAAACGCAGCTTTATACGTCCCTGAAAGTCCCTGACTCTTTTTATCTGAGCTAAAGGGGGACATAAAAACTAACAACTTCAGCACATGTGGTATAGAGGGATGAACCTAAATGACAAAGCCCCAACGGAAAATGATCCACCATAAATTCCCCAGTGTTGGAATCAGCTGCAATAAACTGCACATAAAGGAACAGGCATGAAAACTTTTCTGAAAGAGTGAAAAATATTTAAAAATGACGGGGAAGTGTCATACACAGGGAACTTAAAGCCCTATATAGAATCAGAAGCCCCATTTAAGAATAATCTCTACATTAACTTTGTTCCCATAACAAAACAAAATGTAAGAACCTGCAGACACATTTGGATGGCTTTTTTCCATCCAGCATTTTCAGTCAGTCATGTTAACTTTCTTCTTCCGTTTTAAATTTAGCTGCGAATCATGAAGGCAGTTGTGCAAATCAAGCCGGGATCTCAAAGAGGGGCAAAAATTGACAGGATGTTCCTAATTTTAACAGTATTACAAAAGGTTAAAGAATTCAGCCCTAGATAGGTGTTTTACATTTGAGTGAAAGGACAGATCCCAGTCAAAACAACTACAAGGTTCATCACTGTAGGTAAAGTAACTATGTAACTTGAAAGTTTCTTGTATATAAGTATTATCAAGATATCAATGGAACATTATTCCATACTGTCTAATAATAACATTGGATGGAAGCATTATAAAAAGTAAGACATTTCTGTGTCTGTGATAGCAAAAAAGAGCTGCAATGTTTTTGCAAGAAAATTTGCCAGAAAACCCATCCATCCTTTATCTACAGCATTTATTCCTAGTAGGGTCACGGGGGGCTGAAGGCTATTGCAGCTGGCATTGAGCGAGAGCCGGGGTGCACTTTGGACAGTCCAGTTACTTCTAATTTTGTATATCTTTAAAAAAAAAACAACACAGGATCAAACCAATTGAAAGAAACTGGATATGAACAAAAATGTTACATTTAATCAAATTGTGCCCAAATCATAAACGATATTTGCACATTATTCCTCGTTCTTTATTCCTCCTTCTGCTCTCTTTGACCAGGAGGATAACTACGAATGCACCTCCAGCAGCAGGTTGAGCTTCTGCTTTGCTCGACCATCTCGCTCCGGCGCACGACAGACATCAGCACCGGGGAAACTCCTCAGGCACGGATGCTCGTCGCCAGCGAGCATGGCCGCGGACTCCAACTGTGGCTGAAAGGGAAGAGAAATGGCAGCTTTTACTCTTTATGAGTTCCCGAGCCGAGGACTGACGTAATTGGCTTTGCGTCCGCTCAACTTTAAATGTAGCATTAGCTTTGCTTGTTCTTCTTTTTTTCTTTTTTCAGAGAAGTGATTATATGTATCTGTTGTTGCAATTACAATTTGGTGCACTTCATATTACCCATCTTCTTTTACAGTTGAGTGTAAGCTGTTTTTTTTCCTGTTACTTGTAATTAATATTGCATTATCTCGATGTTGCCATGGCAAAAATAACCTCCTTTCACTCAATAAACATCTATTCACATGCACAATTTGGATGTTTGTCTTAAAATATCAGTCTATTGTTTGGTTTACAGCCACACTGTGAACCTTGGCACGGCTTTCAGAAACCTGTTTACTTTTCAGTCCATCTCTTTCAAGACACAGCTGCTGGCAATTACGTCACATCCTCAAAAAAAGAAAAAGTAAATACTAAGTCGTTAATAGGATGACACATCTCGTCGTCCTGTTAAAAGAATGAGCCTCTTCCCTTTCTGACCCCTGAGCTGTTCAACTCTTGACCTCCGTGGATTAGAAAAATAGACAACCAGCTCATCATCTTCACCAGTGTCGGTCAACAAACTCATCTCAACTGTTATGCATTCTTTTGATTTACTCTTTTAGTTCTCCATCAGGCATAAGCTCAGGTTTTGAGCAGATCAGCTCCAGCACTTGGCAGCCCGTCAGCTGTTGTCAAGGACAGAGGGAGGGGAGGCACACAATCACACGGGGTCACATTTCTGCTCACCGCACGAGCTCGGCTTCTACTGTTACACGCAAAACACTTTACGATGTGGGCTACCTCCCAGTGGAGAGCCCGGTTACACATGAAGCATGGACAAAAACACACAAAACACACCAGCACCGAAAGCAATTTTGCCAAAACACAAAATGCTTGCTGAGAGTTTTTGCTGAGCACAAAAAGTTACCAGATGGATAGCTATTTGGTTTAACATGAGTGTAAGTAGCTCACATATAGAGGGTTAGAGAGTGCATGACTGTCTGTGTGTGGGCCTCTGTAGGACTAATGATCCTTCCCGTGTTTTAGGAGCCAGGATAAGCTCCACCCCTGTGCATGACCCTGAATTGGATTCAGCAAGTATAGAAATGGATAGACGTCACACATGATCACATTTTCCATTTTCCCTGTTGTCCATCGTCATGAGTTTGCAAATGTAAGCGCATGGACAGAAGGGTTTTTGTTCAATCTTTGAATCAATAACGCTGCCAAATATTCCCCACGGGTTTGCCTCAATTGTAACACACTTAAGTGACATTGCCACTTCTCACTTAGCTCTCCAGCTCTCCACCGGTTCGGGGGTGAAGTGGGGCTGCAGTACCGGTTCTGGCCTGAGGGGGCGATGTAGGCGGAGCTCCGCGGTTTCAGCCGGCCGGGACCTTCTTCGTCCAGAATCTCTTTGACGCCAAACACCATCAGCGCCGGAAGTGTTGCTGCTCCAGCCCAGCTGATGGATAGTTTGTGAGTTTCTGACCATTCTGCCAAACATGGAGCAAGTATTCTTACGGTTCGACTCGTACAACTTCGAAGGTGACCAGCGGTTCGTGGACGGTCTGAAGACTTTACAGTCGGAGGGGAACAGGGACGCGACCGAGCTGCTCAACCTGAAACTGTTCTTTTATAACAGGTACAAACAGAGGAAAAACTTCAGGATTTTTTTTTGTATATTGTTCTGGAAGTAAAACAAATCAATTCTAACACAGACGGTCTGGATTTCGCAAGATGGAATTAAGAAAAAATATTTATTTCAGTTTTAAATGTATAAATATTCGCCTATATCACCATCCCCAAAAACTACTTTGTAACATGTAAAATCAAAGGATATTGAACAGTTTTGGTGGAATAAAGTGAACTTGTGGAAAAGGAGCCAATCTTTACTCTGAAAAGGTGGTATGCCTTTTAATCAGACTTTACTACCACTTTCTTGTCACATTAGGCCTCAGGATTACTTGTGTTTGCTGTGAGCTTAGTTTAATTTATTCACTTAAATATGTAAACACAGTTGGAAAAATGACAACTGATCAGGTAGAATGTACCATGTGTAAATATTCAGATTTGAATATTTTTCAGAAAGAATTCCCCTTCTGCCTTTGGTTTGTCTGCAGGTTTGTTGAGCCCATAGACCGGAGCTGCTACCACAAGTGGAGCTCTTCTTCCTCTCATGCGACGCCAGCGAGTGTTGCCTCTGGGCAGCAGAACCTGAGGACGCTGCCCTGTTCAGAATCTGATACAGATAAAAAACACACCACAGAGACAGGCACAGACTCTGAGATGAAGCAGATTTCCTTTGCGGAGGTGATGCGGCTGGTTCAGGAGGGAAAGGAAGTGCCATGAGTGACAAAACTGGACATACAACCCAGCAACCAGAGTCCCACTCCTTCTCGAATGGAGCGGCTACTCAAACCCTGGGAGTCTTAGGACACCTTATGCCCAATATGTGGATTGAACATATTAGTTTTGTAATAAATGGCCTGTGGATTTTGATCCAAATGAAAGATGTTTGTTGTTACAGTGAGACAGAGTATAAGACAAAAGAAAACATCAAAACTGTCCATCAGTAACAAGGTTTTCCCAAATTTCCCAAACAAGTCTTCATAGCGGAAATCAATAGATTATGAAGGCACCACTCAAAAATTATTTCAATTTTTATAATCTAATTAATTTCCAGAAAGCAAATTACATTAAAGTTTATCAAAAGATTCCTGATCTATTAGATGGAGAGGCATCATGGTGCATCCATAATATAAATAAACATATATTCACCTGGTGGTCTATGTGGAACAGGAATTATTCTTACTGATCATCTCTTGTTTGGCTCAGAGAGCATATGTTGAGTGGGAAAAATACAATTGATCCTCAACTGTTAGGCTTTACTGAAAACTTCAGTGACACAATCTAGGGTCCCTACTTAGACCTTTTTTGGAAGGATATTTGGAGTGTTTTTTAATCTATTTCCTCTTAGTAGCTGTCCCTTAGAGGTGGAGGCAATTTCCTGTTGTCAACACAATACACAATTTAAATACAAAGATTAAACCCACTGTTGCTGTTCAAGGAAAAAAAGTACATGTATCGTGATAGTCTGGTCACTAAACTTATAAGGTCCTACTAATCCCATGTATCTTCGAGAAAGCAAAAGTACACACCAAATAAATCTTAAGCCATAGGAGAATGATGAAAAACTTGTCACAAATCATATACACACATTATTTATTAATTGTCACCTGATATTTGTTTTCACACAGATAATTGACTTTCAAGCTGTTTTTCTACATTGTTTCTGACAAAAAACAAAAGCATATATAAAACCAATCTATACAATAAAAAATAAAACATTGCTACTTGGAACAAACTGTCAGGGGGCTCCATTTAAGATCAGTAACAGTAAAACCAGAACACAAACCAAAACTGTACATGCAAATTTAGCACCATTCCCGCAGCACCATCCCACAAACAGTGAGGTAAAAGTGTCGGCTGCCTTTTAAACATTCCACTGTATTTCTTCGAGTCTATGGAACATGCAAACATCCAGCACAGGCAGTGAAACAACTATCAGTGGTTAAAAAAAACAAAAGAAAAATTAACGTTAACTGAACCCTAATAAGACACTTTGAGTTGCCATAATGATATGGAACAAAAAATATAAAAGAATTGTGCATAAATCCACGTTTAGGGAGAATAAAAGCTAAAAGCTAAGAATGAAAATGAGAACTCGGAGCAAACATTCGGTCAAGGCTCATTTCCTATTTTTCTGCCAAAACAAGTGCAGCACTAGTTCAGGGATGGAGCTCCAGCCAGTTCTAACACAAAGGTCTCAACCTCCGGCCGCTGCCCTGCAGGTTTTAGGTGTTTCTCTGCTCCAACACGCCTGATTCGAGTCATTGCACTATTGGCAGACTTGTGAGGAACTTTACAATCTTCTGCATACATTTATCCATCTAAATCAGGTGTACAAATGCAGGGAAACATTTAGTTCAACAGTCAGTTCAACCACAGTTATTCAATGATTGAAGGGTTTTTCGTCCTTTTGGTAATTCTGAATCAAAATAGGAAACACATCTCAAGTATTGGAGCTTCTTTTTACAGTTTTACCACACAGAAAACCACAGAGATTCCTGTCTTGATGAGCTATAGCTTGGTGAGGTGCGCTCATCCCTGCTATTAGTGAGACTGTGAAGTCTAACTCACATGAACCACCCTCTCCCTCACGCCTGCTTTTCTCTTTTTTTCCCTCTCATGTTCACAAAGATAATTTATCCTTCCAACGAGTTTGTTTATGTGGCACGTGCACTTCACATGTCTAATATCTGCCTTCTTCCCACAAGAAGAAATTTCACACTATAAAGTCATTTTTCACAATCAAGCGGTTTCCTCTCTCTTTTTTTTTTAGAGCACCTTTTGCAGATTTTAAAGTTTACCATTTAGAAACCTTTAGAAACTGCCTATTCAAACATGGAAAAATCCAGTTTAAAAAAAACACCAACACTCAGTTCATCGTGTAAGTTGTGTTCGACCAATGAAAGTCCTTAAAAAACTAATTTGAGCACCGATGCAAACCAAGTGATGTCACTTCAGTCTGCATCCCGTTAGCACCACAGTGGGATCTGTGCAGTTTAGACAAGCGGTTAAAAAAAAGAGGAAATAAAGTAACAACTTCATGATCCATCCAGGAAGAAATTAACTAGATCCAATTAGATCTAGGTTTAGAGTAAAAACATTTAAATAGAGTTCATGTATAAAAATCACAGAGTTCCATATTCATAAAATAGGAAATATGGCAAAAAAAATCTGAACAGCAGTCAAACAGTGTTGAGGTAGAGAGCAGGGCCTGTAACGCTGAGTGAGTCTGGAGGCTCCTTTGGTTTCCTGACTGCTTCGCCTCATGTGCTGAGCCAACACTAATGATTAGGTGACATGTTCGACAATACCGAATTTAGGAAACATGCAAATCAATAAAAACCTAAAAATCACATATTTGAGGGGTCTTTCATATGACTTTTTCAAACAGTTACGCCAGCTTGTGGCATATGTACACCTAACACCGGGGAAGCGGAGGCACTAGAATGTATTTAAAAGTCCAAATGCACTGCTTCGTTGAAGCAGGGATTATGTGTCAGGACAACCAAAACATTGAGCTATGAGGAACCCTTTTCCCCACCACACAGCAAATAAATATATTGTTAAAGAAACCCAGCCCAGAAAGTGTCGGTACCTGCTGGTGACAGAGGATTGTGGGTGGCTTGACACACCGTGAACTACTAACCTAATTCTTTCGGGTAAAGGCCAGGGTTAGGATAAGGCATCGAGGTTAGCACCACTCCTTTTGAAGACTGACTCAGTGTCACTGATCGCAGGAAAAATAATCCCTCAGTGGCGCGAAGAGGTGCCGGATCACGGGAACACTCCAGGAGCGGCCCAGGACCTTCTGCCTCTGCATTCGGCCCATGTTGTTCACGTCCGTGTAGTGTTTGGGGAAGCCAAAGACCCTGTAGGAGCAGACCACATGGACAGCAAAGTTATAATAAATAATCTCAAAATTTTGCGCGTGTGCATTAAACTATCAGCGAAGGTCCGCATTCTGTGACACGCATTTGACCGCGACAGGCCAGCGTCTCTTCTTCCAGCCTGGCCTTTTAAAGCCTAAACGTGAAGATCGGAGAGAGATTTCCAGGAAAAAAAACACGCCCTCTTCCATTGAACCCTTACACCATCACCTGCCACCAGTCTATGCGTTGACTGTAAAACCTTCCAGCAGGTTCAAACATGGAAAGTTCTTGCTGCATTTCCTCATTTCTTTGCTGGAAATCGGTGTGCGTGTAGCGGACGTGTCCTAGTGAAACGGAGCTGTTTTTCACAGAGCTTGACATGTTTTGACGCACACGGCACTTACTGTTCCATCTCGGTGCACCACAGGTAGTCGTCCTTGCCGTTCATGTTCACAGGCAGCGGCCCCATCTTCCCCTGCTTGATAGAGTTCGACTTTGTTGTGATGGTGCGGACTTTGTCAAACTGCGGGGAGAGGGTGGCAACATTTTTAAATGGCAGGGTTGAACCACAGCAGAGGGGTATCAACTCTGCCGTGTTAGGCTGCTTCTGAGGAAACCAAACGGGATGCTTTTACCCTTGCCATGCGCCCGACTTCCAAACAATCCTGCAGGGTCAGTTTGCTCTCATTGGAGGTGGCGACAGGTCTGCGGGAATACATGGGAGAGCGGATTAAACACGCCATTCAAAGAGGAAGCCAGGATCCCTGCTTCTGTGTGAGCGTGTACCTGTTCATCCCCGGTATGTTCCCCCAAAAGTAGCGCGCTCTGTGAGCGGGGGTGACTTTCACCGCGTCGATAAGAACTGGATTGCACTGGGGGGGAAAAACAGGAAAAAGAAGCAGACACTGAGCATTGAAGCAGTTTGGTTTCTGGCATCACTCTGACAGAAGGCTCCGACCGCCGGCTGAAGGCAGTTACCTCCAGGAACCGGCAGATGTCGGACTTATCGTGGGCACTCATGAACACCACGTTCTCAAACAACCAGAAGAATGGGCGGTTATCGTCCTCCTTTGGCCTCAGCATGGTCAGTATGCGGTAGAACTCAAAAAAGAGTCTTCCAGTGCCCTCTGCAGGGGGAACACGGACACAAAACGGGACAAATAGGATGAAGGGCGAGAGCCTTGCAGCAAAATAAAGAAGGCTTTGGGAGAGGCTACAAAGTCTTTACCAAACAATCCCTTTCGAAGGGGGTTGACCATGGACAGGTCGTTGCAGGGGCTGCCACCAATCAGGAGATCAAAGGGGCCCCATTCCGCCAGCTGAAAGACACAGAGCGACACAGAGTTTTCCACCTCTTGGTCGGGACGCAGACGTTGGCTTTACGCGCCCAGCTGGGTTTCTGCTGCCGCACTCACGTGTTTTCTGGTGATGGTGCGAACATCATTGACGTACTCGATCCTCCCTTCGTGTTTGATCATCCCCACCGCGATGGAATCGTCGCAAATCTCTGAAGCGATGTACCTCTCGATCTTGAAACCGAGGTCTTTTAGCACCAGATATCCTGTGACGACGACACGCCAATAGAAACAGGGATTATTAACTCGGTGTGAAGACGGTTTCAGACACTGGTCTTAATGACTCGGCATGGCCTACCTGTTGCTATGCCGTCGAAAAGAGAGAGCACCTTGATAGGTCGGCGCTGATCGGCAGGGATGGAGGGATAAATTCTGTGAGGCTCCTGTGATGCAAAGAGGAAAAGGTTTCTACAGAGAAACATGACTCAGCCTCTTTCCTTCTCTGATACCCGTCCCCCCTGACACTTCACGACACAGTGAAAGAAAGTGAAACAAAAATATACATCTTTACATCTTTTAGATTGGAGAAAAGGCATGGTGGTGACAGTACTCACAAACTCCATGGCACTGTTGTTGGCAAAAAGGTCTTGAACCTTCTTGCTCCAGTCTGGTCTGAGTTTAAGGTATCCTTTACACTGCGATGGGTCACACAAGTGGCAGCTCCATGGGTCGATATGTTTTAGTGTGTCAAAGGTTCCCTCGCCCACCAGGATCTCAAGGCAGTCCTTACAGAAACATCTGGAGGAGACGGGATGACAACATCAAAAGAGGAATGACGGGATGTGGAAATAGACCAAAACACCAGGAGCATCTTGAGTTTAAAAAAATAATCCATTTAGGTAATAAGTTCCAAAACAAAAATAGGGGTTGAGGGAACAATAATCAAACCCACCCCATTCTTTAAAATGGCACAAAAAAGCTCCTTTGACAAACCCCTTTATAATGAGATCTTTTAAGAAGCCTTCGATTGTCAGGAAGCTTTTGGTCCAATGTTGACATTTCATTTTGTGACAATGCAAGGACAAATAAGTGAGAAAACTAAAATATAATAACTTAAATAACCCTGAAGCAGTTATCTCATTAAAAGTCTACACTCTTAAATATTATGTGTGCATTGGTGGCTTTTCAGGTGTTTGGATATGTACCTTAACTGCAGTTGGATGTTGACTTAGATATTAAGCCATAAAAGAAAAGATAGTTGGTCCATCTGAGATCCGTGAGTGGTGCTCACCTGCAGCAGCTGGCGTTCCCACACAGAATGACCTCTGACCCTGCACAGCACACTGTGCAGTAAGACTGGAAGCCGTCGTCGTCGTAGCGATACAGCGTCTCTGTAAAGTTTACCTGCACAGCGCGACACAGTCAGCGTGCGATCAGGACAAGCAGAGAGCACGAAGAAGGAACGCACGGAGAGGGAGCGCTGATACACCACCTTGCATTTCAGACAGAGGCCTCCTTCAAACAGCGGGTGCTGCACTTCGATCTCAGGAGACCCACAGCACAAACAGAAATCTAGAAGACAAGCGTCCTTAGTGTCGTGGATTCAGTGCTCACACCGGCAACTTTCAAAAAACAAACGCCTGTGCTTACCTTCAATTGTTTTGCCTTTCTCTTTGACCCTCTCTCTTATTGATTCTGTTTGGGAAAATGTCCAAGAGAAAAAAAGTAAGATGATGATGTTGAGTTATGAGGATGTCCTCTATTGTGCTCCTTTCCAAGTCTGTGAAACTGATACAAACCTCTGCTGTAGACAATGGATGTATTAGGCTTATTCTTGTATCCATATTTTCTTTTTAATGGGGGCTGGTAGTCAGACAAGGAGGTGCTGTCGGAGTCCTGATGTGCCGTGGGATCTTCAGGACAACACAGAAACATCGTTACCAGAACCATTTTGCCTTTAAAAAAAACATCTGCTTGGAGGAACGTTAAATTGGGGACAAGAACTGGTGATGGAAAAACATATAAGCTTAATTTGAAAGTCTGATGAACATGATGACATGAGGTAAAACGAGAGTTTTTTTAAAAATAAGATTTGAAAACAAACACATACCAGGAGGTAAAAATCCTTCAGGTCCAGTCGGCAGAAACCCCTCACTTGCCCATTCCAACATCAGCTTCAGCTCTTTTTCTTTGCTACCTTCTGCTTGACTGAAAGACTTCCCACATCGCTCACCTGCCAACTACAAACGCCAACATCGTCAAAGTATGAAAAACCTCAGCAACACATCGTTCTACTGTTTAAAATTGTCTTTTATACTCACCAACAAACATATTAACCAACTTATCTTATTTTCAATATAATCTCCCAAGAGTGCAAATTCTCACAATTCAAAAGCTTAAACTATTTTACAGAGACTAATATTACCACATTAATTGTTTATCAGCTTTATCCTCTGAGCTGAAATTGCTTTTCATAGGATGTGTGAGGTACTGTTAAGAAGCAACGACAACAAAAACAGAAAAACGTATGTTCTGATTACCTCGAGGATTTGGTAGATTCCTTCCTTGTAAATGGGCAAACTGGCAAAGGAATTTTTGCAGAAGCACCTATTGAAGGCTCTAAATGGGTTTAGTCGCTCTGTGGAGATCTGCAACAGAAAAACGCTGGTTATGATCACATCTACAACATCGTAATTGGTATCTGGGGAACATAAAAATAAAAAAGCATTTTTTTCAGCTGAAAGTCCTGAATTTCTGACCTCTGAGAACATCCCATCTCCAAACCACTCCACCCTCCGCAAGGTTGGGGGAGCAGTCTTGGTCTTCCATGGTATCACCATCCCAGGCCACCAGGAAAAGCCCTTTATGTTTCCCCACACCAGCTCGCCTATCAGAAACCCCCTCCCATCCTTTGGAGGACAAAGACAGAATGCATTTACCACGATTGGACATTATAGTGGACTGTTTTTTAATCACTCTGAGGTGAAACATTACCTGGTAAGCACTTTTGGGCCGCCTTCTGGTTGGTGTGGTTTTACTGGAAGAGGACTCTTCATCCAACTGAAAGTTGCAAAAAATAAACAGACAGGAAATCGGTTTTATTTATACATTGAACTCTAGATGTAAATTAAACTGAACATCTGAATATTATTAGAATACAGTGAGTCAAGTCAACCACTTCTGATTCTGAAATGTTAATGGTAGGATTGGATATGAATAGACATGAACATAGTTCCCTTTTTTTATCACAGCGAACATCCAGATTTAAGTGCTTCTGATCACTTAAGCAAACTGCTTTATCCTTAATCTGTCCAACAACCACTGACTAAACTTTCACTGTAAGCCTTTCTGAGAGCACACATCCATTCCCTGAAAAGGCTGTCTGTGGAAGGTACTTAAAATGACTACTTTAAGGCCCTTTAATCAAGAGATTGGTCCCAATAACACGTAACATCTCATAAAACACATAAACTGGTCACATTTTTGGGTAAGTTTATGACAGTTTTTTTAAGCTTATGACTATTGTTGTTTCTTTCGCTCAATTGTTCGTGTATGGTCACTTGAAAAAGGCAGTGTTACTTTTTTTACTCTTCAGCGCAGTTTTTAATGCATAAGGATCACCTGGTCCTCATCAGACCCCAAAATGAACTAAAACATCCTCAGACGAACATCAACTGACACATTTCACCGAGTAACAACGATTAAGTGGGAAACTGGCAACTGGGCATCGGACAGTGATTAGCAAAGCTGTTTATTGTCCTTCTGTGGAGCATTCACGCAGTGAGGGAAGACAGACGTCGGGCGTTATCCAAGGGAAGCGATTGTTGCTGCTCAATTATGTTAGATCGGTTTTGCAGGTTGAATTTTGAATCCATTAAAATAAAAAAATGGTTCCTCACAAGTGCAAAACACTCAAGAGAGCTTGAGTTCTAGCAAGTTCACCCCAGGGTCAGACAGTGCTGTGCTCAGACAAAGCCCAACAGTTACATCCCAGACTCTACTGGCCTCATTTTGAGTAGAAAACCTGAACAATTACAGTGCTTTTCCACTAGCACCTACTCTGTTGGCGTTCCATCACGGCTGAGTGAAATTCCTGGCAAAGGAGTCACATGATTAGGTGGCGGATCCATTACATTAACCCCGCCCATTTTGAAAAACAGGGATCCGATTTCAATACTTCCGTGATTAGAAACATTGTAATTGCCTGATGCCCGAACCTAAACCGAGGTTTAGTGGATATTTAGTTGTCTCAACGTCATCGTTGTTTTCAGGTGCTTGTGTTGTATATGAATGACGTCACGCCCCGGTAGGCCCGCCTTTCTGCTCGGCCGCGATCTGTAATTGGAAACTGCCTAAACCGAGTAGAGCCGTGCCGGACCGTGTAGGGCATTAACTGAAGAGTGCAATTAGAAAAGGATTGAAAGGGTGTGGCTTTTTTGAGAGCACATATTAGGTATGTAAAGCTGCTTCTGTACTCGTGACAAGAAACCAAAGCAGATATGTTTGGCCACGGTTCAACTCTTCTTTATAGCAAAGTATCACTGAGTCAAATGCAACACTGTCTGTTTAATCTTATCTGTTCTAATTTGGATGATCTGCCTTCCTCCTGTATTAGCTAATACTTGTTGAAGGACAACTTCCATGCCCCGCCCTACATTTGAAATAATATAACACCTGACTGAAATTTAAACAGATGGGGTTTGGGTTCTCCCCCCATGGCTTCACATCAGCATATTTAACATCCCATTCTGACATTCACTTCTGCCTGACACAATGTGCATTTGTGGTTTCATACACACCAAAACTTCTTCCGTCCCGAGAGACAGGGCACTCTTTACACACCAAAATGTCATGCAAATGCAAATCAATATCAAACACACATCTTCTTGGGTTGCCGAAATGCGTTTCACCTATGATTACACTGACCATTAAAGTTAGAAGAGGATAAAGAAATGCGATAGCTGTTAGAACTATGTCAGAAAGGTTTCCGCCACAGGCTTTTCTGTGTTGTTCCTTTTTTAAGGCTTTACTTTGGGGAGTGATATTCAAGTCAAATTTGTTTGTCATGTTTGTGAAATCCCATTCTGTGGAGAAAAGTTACAGCCCGTATTTCGCTATGAGGAAGAAGACGAACATTGGAGGAAGACTTATTACCTCTTTCGACCAGGAGCCGTTCAGTCTGAATAAACCATCCTCATCACATGGATCTTTGAAAACACAAAGCACATTTTTCCAGCACTGATATTGACTCATCTTGACCAAATTCAAAGTGAAACTCTGTAGGGACACAACACACTGCGGCAAAAAAAACCCCAAAGCTTTGGAACTATAACAGTGGAACTTACATTTCAGTTTGGTGAGGCGGACTTTGCACGGTTTCAATGTTATGTTAAGACAGTCTCTTCCTGGTTATGGAAATGAAATGGAACAACATTAAGTGCATAATGTAAACACTTCTGCTTATACATTCATCAAACTGCAAGTTTTGGGTTGTTACCAAGTGAAGTGTGCACTGTTCTACCTGCAGTGTGGGTACGGGAGTCCATGCTGCTGTCGGCCAGCGCGTCGTCAGACACAATGTAACAGTCACTTTCCGCTGAGCCTCTGCCCTCCGTTAATACTGTGGGTGTGTCGTTCTCTAAGGCCTGTTGTTGGACGTGACAGCCACCGAGAAAATAAAATGACTTCATCTCAAAAACTAAACATAGAAAGAAAAAAAAACATTCAAACAGCCCACCCCTGATAGCGTACCTTTGTGAAGACTTGCTGGGCATCAGGAGGAGGGCACTGGAGGCTCAGAAGGGTCAAAAGAAGCCTTCTGAAGATTGAGGTAGGCTCGGTGTCGGTCAGGATCCTGGCCCAGTGCTTCTCCAGTGGAGTCTCGTTCTTGGCCCCTTCGCCCTCGCCCTCCTCGGCTAGTTGGTTCTCCAGGAATTCCTCTGTGAGCCTTTTGACCTTTTCTGGGGAGCTGCAGACTCCCAGCTTGGTCCCCAGCTCCTCGACGGCATTCCTGCTCACTTCCAGCCACTTTTGCGGGTTTAGCAGATGGGCAATGTTCTTTAACATCCTGCCGCTCAGGGGCAGCCGATCTGCAATGCAACTCGTGAGAGCGCCGTAGAAAGACAGCGCCTCCTCTTGTAAGTGAGCCAGTGCCTCTGGGGCTTCAGATGTCTTCAAGTAATCTTCCACAGCCTCCCCACCCACATAGAGATCGGGGCTTGAGAGGAGTAATGTCCTGTTTTTCAAAATTTGAGTGTCACGCTCTTTGAAGCAGCAAACGGCAGCGGGGGGCTGAAGGAAATAAGAGGTGTAGGTGCCCACCAGGGCGCTGGCTCCTTCAAAGACCTGTGGCATGTTGGCCCAGGAGGCTCCCCGTGTTAGCCTCTGGAAGTTCTGCAGAGGTTTCAAGGCCTGTTCCAGGAACAGGAACGTCGCCCTGACTTTGGGGTCCTTCAGCTGCGAGCATACTGAATGAGCTTTTTTGTCGTCTTTAGGACAACTGCTGAAGTAACCGATAAGATCTGTCCATATCTCTATGATCTTTGTGACTAACAGGCCAAATTTAAGGCAGCTGGTGCTGAAGTGAAATGAGTTGCCGTTCTCACCGACATCTGATCCGAAAAGGGCCCTGAGGTGGTCGTTTTTGGTAGAGCAGGACACGTAGTGGGCGTGCAGGTCAGCTATCAGCTCTCGGGCCTGATTGGAGAGCGCTTCGACCCCAGCGTGACAGGCGGCGTCCGCAACGGTGGACAGGCCGCACAGGTCGACTATGTTTGGGCTAAGATCTCTGAGCTGTGAACAGATGTCCCCTGAAGCCACAGTGTTCCCACTGAAATAAACAGCAACAAGATTATCGGTGGACAGCTCAAACTTCTTTAGGGACTGCAACACCGCTGGATCCCCTGGACCGTCCACCGCGTCCAAAAATCGGACGCAGTGACCGGAGGCAGCCACGTCGAAAAACCCCACGAGGACCACGCAGACGGAGTCCCCCGCGCCTACGGGCACGCCCCCGTAAATGTAAACACAGTAGGGGGTGTTTCGGCAAACGGACACGATTGATTGGGGGTACTGGAGCCCGAGCGTGCGGCGCACAAAATGCCTCAGCGCCTTTTCGTTGTCGGCGGATCCGGTGTAGCAGTGGCTGCGGATGAAGCGAGCGGCAGCATCGCTGCACGGCAGCGGCGCGGGCACGCGGCTGGCCGGGCCGGCGCCCTCGGGCTTTTGAGCCCTTTTCCGGTGTTTCTTCGTGTCCTCGTGTCGCCTCAGCTCGATGTGTCCTTTACTTATGGTGTGAAGCTTCGTGTGACACGAGGAGCAGTAGGTAAAATCCTCTCCGAGAACACTACGGTCTGCCCACACATAAGTTTCCTTCCACTTGTCAGTGTACGGATATCTTTTGCCCAATGTTACACTGTTGCTCGTTTCCACGTCTGAGTCCGATATGGAGTTCCCTGATAAAAGTTAAAAGAGGAAACATTACTGCACAACATGTTATATGTGAGGTGATTAAAGTACAAAAAGAACCGTCTCAGTTCATTATAGAAGAGAAAGGAAACGTACAATCTAACTTACTAGAAGATAAAGAGGCTAAAGTGGAGCTGGTTGCCATGCCGTTCCGGGGATTGATGGGGTTGCTGCTTTTTGCATTTTCTGCATAGAAAACTTTGAACCAGTCCAGGAACTCAAAGCTGTTCTCAAAATCCCCTACTATGAGTTTCTCAACTGGAATAGCCTGTAGGGATACAGAGAAGACGTAAAAACTTCAGACCGGTCAGAGAAGGACATAGCAGAGAATTCTGCTGACATTTGGGAAAATGATCATTCAAGTTTGGGTCAGCAGGTTATGTTCCAGACACAGAAATGACCCACATACAATTTAAAGTAATATAAGCTCCTATCAGATATTGTTTAACTGAACAACCACAGTGATGCTTTTTGTTTTGAGGCTGTGTTCACTTATTGCTTTACCCATGCTTTGATACTAAATGTAATTAAACTAATCAAACTTCATATTTTCACCTGTAGTAATCCTTGAACTTCTGTTTACATGTGTATTTTTTGCATCATTGATGCAAAAATGACAGGTATGCCTTTCCCTACATACACACTAGCATTCATAATAGAATAAGATTTTGTATAAGGCGAAGATCAACTTTGAAACAGTGTAACAAAGCTTGGATAGCAGATTTTCTCGTTTTACTGTAGGTTGAAAGAGCTGATCACTAAATACTTCCCACCTCATTACTTCATAATTACCCTATTTATCTTAATGATATGAAACACCACAAGCAAGCACAGCAAATTGTGAGGACTCTGTTGGTCTTTAATATTTAATTCATATCATGCAGTTTTAATATAAATTATGCAAATCTAACCTAATGTACACATGCATTTTCCTCACAGTGAATTGATTTTGTTTAGTGACTCATAACAAAAAATGGTACATACCCTTGTAATATCCATCTTGTCAAAGGCCTCCTTTAACAAACTGAAGTTGTGCTTGTAGTCATTTTCCCTTTGTGATTCAAACTTCACGGACGTCATATCAACAGAAGCTGGGAAAATGAGGTCCATGATCTGACAGTAGTGTGCACCTAAGAGAGGGGTGGATAAGAGTAACAGGTGTAATCTCTGTTGTAGCTCTTACTGAACAAGGTAAGATAAAGCATGTTCACAAGACTGTATTAGGATGAATCACCAGAACGCATATCTCCCACATCTTGGAAGTTTGTTTTCAGCAGCTTATTGATCCAGGCGAGGAGAGGGAATTGACTGGATTTATCGTTGGAGGAAACTGGAGTCACTGCTTCTGCGTTTGCCATCCTGGAACTCTCTGTCGAAAAGAAAAATAACATAAGCACAAATTAAGCGAAGTGAAGAAGTGATTGGATAAACATCAGCATACGTTATCCAGATTCTTTTTTTGTAATCTCTGGAGGCTGGGGGTCTTGCTGTATGGAGTCTGCATGTTCCCACTGTGTATGCATGGGTTCCTTCTGGGTATCATGACTTCTTTGCATCGTAAAAAAACTATAGCATGCATGTTAGGTTCATCAAAGATTCTAGATCCATTGTGTGAATATGAGTGTGTGGATGTTCAATTCCATTGGGTTCTGCGATGGACTGGCCACCTTTTCCTGGGTGTACCCCGGGTGACCGCTGAGATAGGCTCCAGCCTATAGCAAATGTGTGGATGGATGTTATCACCTGATTGTACACAAGTCTTGTGGACCTTTCCTTTCACCACGAAAAGCACATAAGGGGTATCATGACATATATCATATAGCCTCAGTTATTACATGTTATGTCACACAACAAAAGATAATCTCATGTGTTGTTGCTGTCCTTGGTTTTAGAGCATTGCTGGATCGTGTTGTTTATGATTTTTTTTAAATAATGTTGCAATATGTAAGAGGTTGGATTTGCAGGAAATATCCGATCTCTGAGCGGGACGTGTTTTCCCCTTGGACTGAAACGAAAGTGTCTGACATGTACACATCAGATAAAAATCGTAGCGCCTGCGGCTCTGGTTTCGTATGACTGTCTACTTGCGTGTGGGGGTCGCAGCAAAGCGTTGGGGGACCGTTCAGCCATGCTTTCAACTCCCCCCTGAATGTATAGAAAACCCGTGTGTGAAATCTCGCGTTGACTATCTTTTACCCGCGAACTTCTCCGCCGCACAAAAACTTTCCCTCCAAAGCAAACTTGGCACAGCAGTACTTTCCACACACGAAAACTTGTATGATGACCATTGAGAGTGGCATAGTTGAGCACAGACCGGCCGGAATAGAATTTACAAGGCGTGAATTCGGATAAAGAGTTTAGTTTCACTATTGCTCCTCGGACATCCTCCGCAAACACATCTTGTGGTTTCTTAAAAAAGGAAGCCAAAATCGTTTGTATTTATGAAATATTTTACATTCCTACGTTTTCAAAGAGCTGTAGACCGTATAAACCCCAAATCAGCTGATACGTGTTATTTCAACCACCGAAATCGAAAGAAACAAACAGAAGCCGATTTTACCTCGATAAACACACTCCCGGATCCAGAGACTCGCGTTTCCGTATATTTGTATAGGCTCGTCTTTGTGTTGTGAGCCTGCAGACGCCTGGATCCACAATAATACCAGACAATGAAAACAGCACCAACAAGAGCCCGTGCCTATCACCCGCAAACCACCATCGCTACCCAGGATCCGTGCAGAACAGAAGCGGCGTGTTTTGCACTTTTTTTATTTTATTTATACACAACAGGAACGATCATGGGTGACTTACCACGGCCGTTTCCCTGTTGGAACAGACACTTCCCCTCCTCCCAGGCCTGCCTGAATGCCCGGTCTCGTACCGGCCCTTGTGACGTCGATACGGCGTTAAGCACGACCCAATTGGACGGTCGATAACGGGAGGCCGTCCCGTTGTCGGATGCTAGCTATAAACTAACTTGCTGAGCTACGCCCGCAACGGGCGGCAACGCCGCATTTCATATGAGTACACGGCGTACAGTTGTTGTTTTAAATGTGAAAACACACGGAAAAACATCACAAACAATGTGACACCCAACTTCGAGCCCCACCACCGACGACAAAAATGTCATGACGAAAAAGCAGAGTTAGCATTAGCTCTAATTGAAGGTTATTACAGTTCGCTCGTTACCTCTGAGGCGAAATACCTAACTGAAATATTCTGTAACATTGACAGGGTTAAATATGCATAATGTTACTACATTAAAACTATTTTTCCACTCAAGGGCCAAATCTTAAAATACAATTGAAATTAGCCCGGTTAACGAACGTGGTTGCTAATAGTGTAAGGCTAAGTGTAACAATGTAAATCTGACGTTTTATGTAAATGTTAAACTTGTTTCGCATGATTCCTTGACATATCACCAAAAAGTAAAATGGAAGCTGTGTGTATAACCGTGTCGTAATGGCGTCCGTACAGTTTCACTGGAGGAAGAAGCAAAGCACGCCTTCAAGTCGAGTTTGCTAACATCAGCAATGTGGCCACAAAGAGCTTCTCCACGGATGACTAATTTTTTTAAACAAAAGACAGCGAGTCTAACTGCAATGTACACAGATTTTGACACGCAACCTAAACGGGAATTGGCAGTTTGGAGCACCATTAGTTTCACTTGCACTTTTAAGGCCTTGACGTCCCACAGCCATAGCGGCCATTTTAAGATACCATCAAAACGCACAAGCTTCACCACACATAAAGGCAGGAAGAGGAATTATAGAAATGGAAACAGAGAGAAAAGTGTATCTACTTAACTAGTAGGTTAACAAAACAGCATAAGAAATGTAAAACGTGACCACTATATGACTCTGATATACTTAATATTCATGTTAATCAGGGTTGCAAAATTCCAAGAATTTTCTTATGGATATGATCACGACATCTTCAAAATGTATGGTTGGGAAATTAAATGTTGCTTGCTAAAACCTGTTTTCCCCAAATCGTAGTGTTAATCCGATCCTTTATTGGAAGTCTGAGAGTAAACCAGTGAAATGATCATCGTACAAATGTGTAATTTATTCAGATCGCAGGCAAAGTAAATCAGCTAGTATATTCGCTCTTAATTAACAAATCTCCCAAAGGAGCTCTACCAGAAAAGAGCCCAGAGTTATGGATGTAATGGACATTTATCTTCTTGGGCTTGGCCTGCCTCATTCAGAAGGAAGGCTGGATGAATCTGAGTCTTATTGGCCAGTACCATCTGTCAGTCCAGCTCCCAATCCATGCGGGTTCTACTGCAATGCAATAAGAAATGTGTGTGCTTGAGTGTTGTCCTTGAAGAAATGTATCTAATGTCTCATAGAAAGAAGAGGTATTTGGAAGTAACAACTATAGACATAACATGAGTTCAGTGTGTGAGTATAACTCTTAAAATGAACAAAACCGTTAGGAAATTATATAAAATCCAGTACGAAATCTAGCAATAAAGTAAAATAAAGTAACACTCTAAAGTTAATTAATATAAGACGATCCTAACATTGGCTAAAACAATCAGATTTGATGCTAATACAGTCGAGTTTCTATGCAATCCTCTGTTATAGGTACATTGTGGGGTACTTACAACAGAGGCTGCAACCTATTCGGATTGTACAATCTTCAATAATATGTAGGATTTTGTAATGAATGTTAATTCATTTTCTGTAACCGCTTATTCCAATTAGGGTGGCTGGGGGCCACACAGAGACAAACAACCACACACACTCACAGTCACTCCTAGGAGCAATTTAGAGTGTTCAGTTAAGCTATTATGCATGTTTTTAGGTGGTTGGTGGAAGCCAGAGTACCCGGAGGGAACTCACACAGACATGTGGAGAACATACAAACTCCACACAGAAGTCCCCTGGTCCCCCTGGAATTCGAACCAGCAACCCTCTTGGGATGCAACATTCATGGGTAAAAAACAACACAAACAGAAGAGGTTGAGTCATATAACAGTGTTGTAGGACTATTAATGATCCATTTTGAGCTCTGCCTTGAAATGAGTCAGAGCATTTCTTGTTAAGTGCTCGGGATATAATGGTAGTGAGTGTTATTGAGAAGGTTGAGAGGTTAATGCGTGTGTCTGAATTTATGTTGAAATAAATGCAAGTGAATGGTCTGACACCCAGATAAACGTTAATAACCGCGTGCCCTCAGGGCAGCTGACTTGCTCATCACTGTCTTTTAATGTAGTGATACTAAGGGCAGTCCTTACAGTGAAAATGCTTTTATAAGTGTGACATATTGTCTCAATACTGAAAAAAACTGACATTCCTCTCATGAAAACCTTTATGACGGAATCTGCTGCAAGTGTGAGCCCGCAAAGGGATCACAGGGTCAGGTTAGGCTTTGTTTGTATAACCACCTCTATACTGGCCCATCCTCCCAAAAGCAAGGGTCATCACATTGGGGAGAAAAACAGCATTGTTTTTTAACATTCTTAAAAAAGCCAGTGTTGCTGTCATTTTTGTACTCGTCAGTGTGTGAGCATACAAAATACTTGAGTTCATAATGAGAGTTCTCATCATGATCATGTAAAGATTTCTCTAGTTTCTTTAGATGTCGGGTCAAGAGGTCAGACGTAGGAATGCAGGAGTTTTAACATACACAGAGGAAAGAACACATTAATTTAGCTCCTTGGAAACTTGAATGGATCCCCTATAAAAGTGTTCAGTGTAAACAGAACACTTGTTCTTGAGCAATGAAGAACAAGTGCCAGCACAGACACACATACTTTGCAGCATGCTATAGGGTTTTATGATTAGATTACTCAGTCATTGTTTAGCTTGATGATTAACTCTATATAGAGTGTATGGACTTAAACCACTATTTGGGGCCTTGAAAGACTAGGAGGTACCTTGTCATATGTTATGACTAAAAGTGGACACTTAATGTTGTTTTTTAGAATGATTTCTATGGGCAGGAGAGGAAGAGTTCAAAATAAGGAGAAAATGTTTCAATGAGTGAATCTTTGAGAACACAGATCTGACTCCGTCAGGTCTTAAAATTGTGATGTTTGTCGAAGCACCAGTTATATATTCCTATGAAGAAGTGAAAACTCCAAGAACTTTGGCAGATTATACTGTACTCACATTGCAAAGACAACTCAAGCAAATGTGCTGCTATGTCTTTTATTTAAGTCATGTAATAGTATTTGTGTTAGACCGCCAGGCTGACACATCAGTCTGAACAAAGGAAACCACTCAAGTCAAGACCATATCAGGAAGTTCAATTAATGAAAAAGCGCATTAATTGACAATGTAAGATCTGTGTGTCCATTTAAATAAAGCTCCCAAGGTTGCTAAGATTCATCCACATTCACTTTCAAACAGAAAATCCAACCTTCAAACTTGTAAAATGTACAGATTTATGTACCTAAAACCCTCCTGAATCCATAGTTGATCATGACTCCTTACTAATTTTTATTCCTGTATTTTCTTTTAACAGCATAACAAGCGATGATATTGTATGTTGTTTTTTGCTTAATTGTGCATTTATTGCATCATCGTTTTCGATTAATTTAATAGTCTAAATTATATGGATTTGCTTTCTGCTATTCTGACTGGTGGGAAAAATGCAAAGTTGACTGAGACTAATGAAACGGTTATCAAATTAGTGAACGTACATACAAATGTCAGACCAGTACACATCATTCAGGTAAGATCGTTCACATGGAATGAAAAATAATATGTTCTTTTTGGGGCGAAGAGGCCAAATTAGTCATATTTGTTCAGTCTTGTTCTAATTGTGGTGTCATGAACTTTGAAACCAAACAGTACATTTGCAGTTCGGACTGCTAAATGTTGCTCTGAGTTATTTGCAAAAAGCTCTACGTTCTATGAGAATAATGAAAGAGATCCAAAACAGTAATACCAAGGCAGTAAAAGGAAATCACTTAACAATGTAGACTTGACGAGAATGAAAATATTGCATTCCTCCATTCAGGGTTTGTCATGTGGTCGATTAAGTTTGCAACAAATGTTTTTTTGTTGTTGTTGTTGTGTCATAGTAAATAATTTGTTTGTTGCACAGGCACAGTTAAGCGATTTTGCTTACAAACAAACCAGCCATTTCAGTGGGATGTTGGTGAGCAATATGAA